GTAAATTTTCCTAGTATATAAACGATAGTCACATGAATATTCTTTCATTAAACCCCTGAAGAGTGAAGCGATTCACGAAACAGGCTTGTCGGGAAATGTAGTTGCGTCGTTTTTTCCTCTCATAATATTTATATATATATATATATATATATATATATATATATATATATATATATATGTATATATAGTTGTTAGCTCAACTAACCAACATATTCTGCTTATTTTTTTCTTGAGGGACCCTACTTCCTCCCTTAGTCTTTGCCTTTCCTTTCACACATACTGTGACAGCCTCCATGGATAGTGTCACTTTTCATGCTGGATTCAGTGTCAATAACAGCTACACTAGGTTCTGGTATGGGAGGGAGGTCTTCTTCCTCATCAACTACAAGTGCCCTCACTTGTTCACACTGTGCAGCAACTATCTGCAACTGCTGTTGCTTTTTGACTGACAGTTTCCCTTGTTTGAGACCTGGAATTTATATCATTCAAATTTTTGAATGCAGATCATAGGCAAGTTCTATGAAGATTTGACTCAGCTTAACATAGCAGTCAATGATATGTGGGTTCATTCTTTGTAACTCTAAGGCTAGATAGATGAGTTTTAAATTAGCCAGGATGATGTGTATATGCATAGTGTTAATAATAATCACACTGACTTGAACTTTACCTAAGCTTTCTTTATTCCACTTTACTTACCTTTTGTACCTCTCTTTGTTTTTTTTTTTAGCTTCCTCCCTGGGCCTGCATATACAGTGAAAGTGAAATATTAAACTTTGAGCAATGTTTGGTTTTGCAATTTTTTTTCATGGCAAATAATAGAAGCTAAGGTATCTGACTATCCCATCTTTGAAACAGTATTTATTTAATTAAACATTTTCAGAAACCTGATGGCTTAAGAACGAGTAAAATGTCCCGACTTTTAATAGACTTCCTAATAGAATCTTGAATTTCTATGACATGACATGCAATTCGTTGACACAGTCATCTCTGACCTTGAAGAAATATGTTTTTTTTTCTGATTTTTCCTTGACTGTGGCAAGCCTGATTTATTAATGTAATATGTTAAATCCTTTCAGGCAAAAGAAAATAAAATACACTCAAAACTATTCTTCACCATCGGTTTCTGCTATGTACAAAAAAATGATAACTGTTTATATATATACATATATATATAGGAAGTCTGTGTTTTGATTTTTCCGTTTTACAGCCACCCCAAGTGATCTCACGCATGTGGGATCATCTAAGCCATGCCAAAGTGCTCAAACTAGAAAAACTAGTGAGCATGCATATATATATATATATATATATATATATATATATATATATATATAAGTGAAAGAATCAAAGAGGACGCATTGATTCTCTGTTACTCTAAGTTTCGCGCCTAAGCGCTCGTCAGACAGAACTTTATTCAATGAAGAACATACCTCCTTATAAACAAATTAGATGAGTAGCTAATTAATTCATTAGTGTGATGATCTGATCTACGTGTGAAATAAAGATTCTATAGAGCTATTGTTGGCGGCTTGTGAAATTTGCTGAGTAAAACTTATTCTCGTGACGGCACTACAGCAACAAAAGCAAACGGTGCCACTTGTGCCTCACAGAAAAACTTTATTTAGTTAGAGCTAAGAAACCGTCTTTATTAAACAAAAGAACAGAACTAATTTCTAAGTGCCGCCACGAGAATAAGCTTTCTGCTGTCTCCAGTCCCCTGTTTTTCTGGACACTCGCCCCCCTGTACCCCTCCACTAGTGTAGAACAAATACTTCGGGAGACCAATAGATTTAATCCGGCAAATTGGCCGCACAAAAGCTGACAAGGGATAGCGATTTACGTCTTTACTAGGCTTAAAACTTCATACGTACATTAACGACAAAAGTGTTGAAGACGGAGTCATTTTAAAGATAGTAACTTACGGCGTAATTTCTTGCAGTCGGTATATACTGATAAACATACACTTTTTGTCAGCGTACTCTGCTCCTCCATGTATTACCCATCCGAAAGTCGTTCCTTCCACGATGGGATCTTCCGAGCGTCCCTTGAATGTTTGCTTGGTTCATATCTTGCAGTAGTCGTGATCACCCAGTATCACGTGTATAGAGTACTCTTCATTCTTCGTTAGAATAGCTTGTCTCGGGCGTGTTCGTACCTTGATTTAAACTCCCCGATAATCGGCCTCCTTACGATTGTGAAATCCGCCAGTGATTTCTATCTGCTCACTTGTCGTGTCGTCCAGGGAATGAAGTCTAACTTTGAATATGGGCATGAAATGTTTTCGAACGCCGTTTAAGGCAACGATTTGGCGCGTTTCATGGCGTGAAGGCTTCAGAGTCAACTTCCTAATTGCGTCTTTGGATATAAAAACTCCTATCAGAGCCTATGTCCAGATATGCCCATAATGTTACGCCTTGAACCCTCAGCAGAATGATGGCAGGCAAGGATTTTTCTTCAGAGTCAGGGGTGTATGAGGAGAACACCATGCTGTAACTCAGTCCATTTACTGATGGTTTGTCGTAAAGGCTTGTGTGGTATCCCAACTTGCACTTGAAACATGGGCGACTTCGACAGTGGTTTGCCCCATGACCCTCATGCCCGCAGTTGTAACACAATCCATTTTCGTGAAATAAATTACGTTTTTTCTCTGAGGTGTTGTAAACATTGCAGGATTCCCCCCAGTGCCCGCTCGACAGAAAAGACAGGAAGGAGCTCTAGGTTCACGCACGTTCTCCCTCTTTCCTTTTGAATACCAGTGCCTCTCTCTTGTCCGTGTGTTCCCCCTGTCAGCGGGAGAGGCGTCGTCCGTCTTGTTTCTTTTGAGCCATTTTTGCAGACTTTCAATCAATTCTTTCATGCCCTATTCCTACCATTTATCGTCAACTCTCACAAGGTCCGGTTTGACTTGAGGTAGTTTCTTCAACGTCGTCATTACGAATCCTTTTAACATGTCAGCCTCTTCCAAGGTATGCAAAGCGTCAAACTTTTTGCTTAACTGTTCATAGAATTCTCACACGTTTACGTAACTGTTCCCTTTCATTGGAGTCAAATTTACTATTTCGTCCATATGGGTATTCTCCTTGCAATCTTTCCCATGCTGTCTTATACCCCAGGGTCCCGGGCTTAAGGTTGGAGATTTGTTCTCTTACCTTCGGAACGAACATCTCTAACAAACAGCCAAATTCCTCTTCGTCTGAGATCGGTCGAGTGTGAACCTGCGTGACGAACAAATTCTCGAATTGAACCGAGTCTGATGATTTCCCTCAAAAGGCGTAGTCTTTAACTTAGGGAGTTTTTGCGTGCACGCCTTTTGCTGCCACTTCAATCTCCAACTTCTGTTCCGCTACGCGCAACTCAGTTTGAAACTCCTCCCCCCAGAATGCCTTCTCTTATTGTTGTCTTTCTCGTGTCACGCGCTCCTCCCGCCCCTGGTGAGCCTCCCATTCTTCCTCTCGATTTCGTCCTTCTTTTGTCTTCTTGTCCTTCTTCCATTACCGAACTTAATGCCTTAATGCCTTCCAACTGTGGAACAAGACCGTAATTTTATCGCCGATCTGCTTCCCTGGTTTTACGGCAATTTCCATCTCCAAATAGTTGTTACTTTCAATTAGCTCGTCAACTGGCTCCGTGTAGCATTCCCGCTTTGTGATCTTTTTGTCAATGTTTCTCTCTGAATGCTCCATAGCATCTGCTACTTGTTCTCCCTCTTCCATGATCGCTAAATATTGTTTTCCACCGCTACGGCCGCGCGGTCAGTTCAAATCTTCTAAATTCCTACGTTGTTGTCTCCACAATAACCCTGATCCTGGTCACGGCACCACAAATTTACCGAGCTTATGGGGTGCACTCTTCTCTCAGTCGTCAAATACTTGTTTTATTGTTTATCGTCAACATTCACCACGTCACAAACTTAGTACACTTTCTCCTAAAAACCTATCGTTTCAATCATCGCGTCTCTTATTTCACTTTTAACCTGAACGTGAATGCGTAAGTGTCATATCACGTAACTTCCGTTTAGTTAATAGTTATGATGCAAAAATGTCTCAAAAGAGGTCAATAGACGGTTATCTCCCTGCTATTTCTTGGAAAAATTTTCCGCTATCTACCACAGGCAGACAATACATAGGGGAATCCTTGATATCGTACTCATCATGAAACAACAGTACTAAGTATGTTGTTCATTTGTGAGATTCTTGTAATAGTGCTTGGCCATGGGTTAGTGTTCTGATAACAATTTTTAAATCTTTAAAAGGTCAGTTGGCCAGCGTGCCTACTATTGCCTATGGAAGAAAAAAGTGTGTCCTTGAGGGTAAGTAGTCAGAGAGAATCAAAGAGAGAGTGTTCGATTAGACTTTGATCTAAATGATTTAGAGACGGAGTGGTAAAAGAGAAGAGTGAAATTAATTTTGTGTAAGGGTGATTGTAATAGATAGATGAAAGGGGAGATCAGAAGAACATGTCGAGAGTCCTTGTTGCATTTCGCTGAGCGTGGTGCACTCAATAGATTTACACCTTGCGTGGCCTATGACGCTCTTCACTTTGTAGTTTTCTATAATCGTCAGGAGACTCTCCACTGAGCTTGTGTTTCCCCATGGGTGTGTTCATAAAAACCAGACCTCCATTGTTGAAGAGAAAGAGCTCGCATTGTCCGCATGATCCGCAGCATGGTTTTGTCTTTCACTCGATGACGATGTTGAAAATGAGGATGATGAAGATGATGATCATAACGACGCTGATGATAAATTCAGTTTGCAAATGATATAGATAGAGATAGATGGATAGAGTTTTGTACCGCTTTCTTGGAAACAATCCAATACAGCCGAATAACTTTTGAATTAAAACAATAGGAAAATCAGTGTGGTACAATATATTCAATACGATGCAAAACTTTCACCTTGGAGTAAAGCAACGAGCTCTAAGTATTCGAAGCGTTTGTGCTCCAGGTATTGTTCCAGGTTGTGAACAAGTGAAAATGACCTTGTGTCGCCAAGATTACCCAGCAACATCTTGCGCGCCTATTGAGAAAATGAACTGGTTCCAGCTTGCGCGCCTACTTTGATCAAATCGAGATTTTTCCCCCAATACACCGAATTCATACTTGCAGTCATATACGCGGGCAATTCTATATAATACCTCCTCGGCAGTTTCGACTTAGGGAAGAAAAACATCCTATACATACCCGCGGCGTCTCTATGAAAACAGAATATCAGAGACCTCAACTGGCAGACTCACTCTCATAATACTAACTGCATTGACGCTTACGAAAAGAGAGAACATATCTATTGAAGCAGTACATAGTGGTTTCTTCCCGTAAACGTGATGCTATTGATGTGATTTATTTTGAGAATTTTAATGACTTATACTATGAGTTTGCTTCATCCTAGATCCCTATTACTTCTGGCTTTTTCTCCAGGAGGTTAATGGTTTATTCATCTCATTACTCAAGAAAAGTGGATTTTAGAAGAACGGTCTTTGTCAAATGGCCCTCCGGCTCCTTGCACGCAATTCTTTATTAAAAAATAGTGTTTCATAATGAACTTCAAAGCTAATTCTTAAGTTTTCAGACATGTTGCATGAACGAAATCCACCTGTACTAATTAAAACGAAGAGCGCTTTTTCTAGCTAGAATTATTTGAATGATCAACTTTGCACCACTTTCATCGCAGGAACGCATATAAAACCATTAATTCGAGTGAAATGCAAATTCCCCCAGCGATCGCATTCGTGTGAAAGAGTACACGCATTTGCGTGTATTGAATGGCAAAGAACGAATTAGAATACACCCATTTGGGCACACGTGGCTTATTCGCAAGTACATACAGTGATATCCGTGATGATTCCCCTGATGAGGTTGTCCGTTAAATTCAAGGACAATATCCTGGTGTGGGCATAAGAATGCTTAAAGGTCATCCTAAAAGTCAAGGTCTCACTTTGCAAAGAGAAAGGAGTAGGCAGTCTTTACTCAGACTAGATCCTACTGCGGCTCTTCAAAGATGGCTTAAGTCGACCCGCCTTTTTTTTATTCTGTTCGAGGTTTTCCACGTACATAATAGGGACTTTAAGCAAAGCACGACGGCGACGGCAACGAAGACGTGGGAAAACAAAAGAGTTCATGAGTAGAACAATAGCTCAGCACGAGCGTTTTAAAACTGTGTACATTTCCTAGCCGTCCTCTGCAAAATAACAACGTGAAATCATCAAAATTTGTGTGATCCGCGAAAGGAAACCCCGACGGCAAATCATTTAAGTTTCTATTTGGGACTCAACGCCGCTCTCATACGTTATGCTGAGTTTAACTCGTGGCGCCGTAAGAAATGGTGAACACATCCTGTCATTCGAGAAATTCCGACTATAAATATATAGTCATTTTTAAATCGACGACTTCCTGGGCGTTGCCGTCCTAACTGCTAAAGGTCTCTAATGTACGTAGGGAACCTCGAAATAGATAATTCGCTAAAATGAGTTCCCTTCAACGTAGAAAGCGGTCATATAACAAGCAACGTACTATGGAAGTAAGCTGAAGTATTTTTTGTGAGAATTTGACGTATTTTTTAATTCCTTAGAGCGGTCGTAAATATTCCCATAGAAACTCTTATAATTTCGCCATGACTGCTATTTCGTAAGATGATCATCTCAAAGCTAGAACTTGGGCTGCCTGTGGTTAAACCTGATTAATTGAAAGTTTTAGCAGACTATTTGTGTGTTTCGAGCGCATGATTAAATGTTCTAATTGGATTTCAAAAGGCTTATATTAATGTTTGAATCACAAGTTGAAAGTTTACAATTAATATTGCAAGGTGTAAGTTAATGTTTGTATGCTTGAATAGAAATTGATCAATTGAACTTTGGCGGTGTTGGAAAGCCATAGCTCTTTTAAAGGTTTCTTTAAAAGTAGCGCACGTGGGAAGATTTTTCCGAAAGGGACCCTATTTCGTTGACAGTAATCTTTAGATAAAGGACACAATTCAATAATATATGCGAACCCCTAATTGCAACTGAGATGGCGAGTGGCTTCCCTCACATAAAAACATATGGATATAATCTCATGTTAATTTTCCCTTAAAAACCCATGCAGAAATAAGTTGTCGAGGTTAAATCACAACAAACTAAAAGTGACAATCATTTTAAAACCCCAAAGAGAAGAGCTTTATTGTTATTATATTCCTAGATAAAAGGTTGAATACTGTTACAGTGTTGAAGCTGCGCTTGACGACAAGATCAGATGCAATTATGACCAAAGAATGACCTGGAAATCCCTACGTCAGTCTCGTTAAAGGATAAACACTTTGAAAACAGGGAGGGGAGTTGTTTATTGCCAAATAAGTAAAAAAAAAGCTCTTCAAAAAAAGCCCAACACCGAGACATCTCGTAGCAAGGAACACATATAACAAATACTACAAAGTAGCATCACTTACTTTTACCTTTTAGGCAGTTCAATACACAATACACTAAGGAACGGGGTCGTTCAGCCCGGCTGAATGAGCGGGAGCTTTTCATAGATAATTTGATACCTATCTCATCATCTCATCATGTACCGAGGCTTCTCACCCAACCAATAAAGATCCCAACACCACAACCTGTATATAAAAGTTAAAATATCGGGAGGAAACTGACTGACTTAAAAACGTACCCTCAAACAAGACACCAAAATGGAATTAAAAGTCACTTGTGAAAAAACCACTCAAACACCAGTTAGCTCAGTCAGATCCTCCTTCTTCCACTCTGAGGAAACCTAATTGTATTTTGGCATGATACGCTTTCCGTGCGCATCACGGGCAAAGATTGGGCAGGTATCTAGAGGGAATGGCCAGGGTCCTGCTTTCTTTTCAGCTTCCTTGGAGATCTCATGAACCCTCTTCATCAACTTCTCGAATGCGGCTCGAACCTTAGGAGTAGCTGTCTTATCTCGCATTTCGGCCAGTTTGCCTACGTACTCACCCATGGTTGTCAGATTCTTGAATGGACATCCCTCTTTGAAACTAGGGCAGTTTCCGGTGATTCCTTTCATTTCATCAATAAGAGCTTTATATGGGCACACACCTTTGCCAAAAACTGGGCAGTTCTTGACGATCTCTTCAACAGTCAAAGAATATGGATACTGCAGGTTCAAGTGAAAATAAAGTTCAACTAGAAAAGAGAATATTCACCAGGAACCAGTACACAACAGCTCAAATAAATCAGCCGTGAGCTAATCACATTTTTCTTTACTTCAGGTAATAGATTCTGTAGAATGATTTATGTTTCGAGCTTTGCTTTAAAAGTGGGAAAAACTCTAGACAGTGACAATTGTGTGGCATTGCTTTAAAAACTAAGGAATGGAAAGAAATACCCGCACCTTTGCTACACGCTAGAAAGCTCTTTATCGATGGTTTCCACTTAACAATTTCATTCTGAAACGAAATTACTTACCACAGTGTATGCAGGTTTCAAAATCTCCTTTCCTGCATTGTCTTTTGCAAAGGGACAGCCACCCTTGAAGAAGCTTGGAGGGGAGACAGTTCCGTGCTCTACGTGTTTTTCCTTACTAAGAAAGACGACGTCCTTCAAAAACTCGATCCATTGAGCTTCGCCTTTGGACTGGTCACGCATCTGACCCATCATGTCTTGAAGCTCACCCACGGTCTTGCATTGTTTGAAAGGGCAGCCATTGTTGAAAAGAGGACATTTGGCACAGATGCCTTTTTTCTCTTGGGCAAGCTTGGCATATGGGCAGCCACCACCGAAAAATGCTGGGCAGTGCTTTGATATATAATTTATGGTGACGTCTGAAGTCTGAAAGGTTGAAAGAAAACGGAAAATTTATTAGGGCTTAACGAGGCGATTCCTAATTTATGATGGCCGGAATTAAAAACATTTACTATTTGCCGCTACACATATAGCAGGTCACAGCTGTTAGACTCTCAAAATCGTGCTTAAAAAGCGACCGAGAACTGTGTTTGTGGCCAGAAAGAGAGAGTTTTGAGGTTGTGCACATCTCTTTAGGTACTTCTAATTTATTTCTTGAGTCCTCAACGATGTTATTATTTCTGTGGTGTCTCACATTTAAGTCACTGCATAGGTAAACAAGGTTCTATTTCGTCAACCTCACATATGAACCATGCACCTCACAGCCTCAAGGTGTTCTTTTTGTATCTTCCAAATTCGCTCAAATATATTCATCTCCACAAAGCTGACTAGGTTGACATCTTTTGAATGTAGAGTACAAACTTTTGCTTTGACTTTTCGATCAGCTTCTACTACAGCTAAAATTTTAACGCAGAGTGTGTTGCTCAAATACTACTTTAATCGCTGAAAATAGAAAGTTTTGATATATTGAAGTTCACAAGGCAACCAAGTGGACAAGGCAACCAAGTGGACAATCAGACATGCTACTCTGGTATAAAGATTTAATAAATGCAACCGAGAAGTTAGAAGTCTCAGACCCAACGTTTCGACACTCTTGTTAAGTGCCTTCATCAGGGATGATCTAATCGCTGCAACAAGAGGTCATTTTATATGCTTACTTTTTACCTGCCCTTTTTTCTGACGAGGTGTTAATAGGCGTCAGGTAGGAAGCCACCATTATCGATTTAAAGAAGCGTGGGCGGAGCTGATATGCCAGGCTTCCAAACAAAGGTGCTGATGGTAACGTCGATTAGCGATGATAATTTTAGACTTATTTCACTCTATTGCATGGTTAGTTAGGCATGTGTGCTCCTACAAAGCTGAATTTTCTTTTTCGCAAAAGAGGACCGCTTTTTGATGCTTTTTCAAACGTGTACCAAACCGAAGTTTGGTCTGTCCGATATACTCGTGATCACAGTCATTGCTCGGAATAGAATAAATAGCGTCAGTTCGTTGTTCTTTCGTAACAGGATTCTTTACCTTAGCAAAAATATGCCCTAAAGTCTGAAAAGGTTTTTGAGCAACTTTGACATTGTGGCTATTTAAAATTATTCCTTATAAGAAGTAACTAGCGACTGGTTTGGCTGTTATTCCTTATTTTCAAGGTGTTACGGAACACATCGAGAGAATTTTGAATAGCCACAACATTTAAGTGCCTTTGACACGGAAAATTTCTTTTCACGTAAACATTTTGCTTATTGTGTGCACAAACCAATTCCGATAGAAGAAAAATGTCAAAACACTTAAAAATCGGTTTTTAGGGCCCTAAAGTGCTCGTACTTTGTCTTAGAAGGGTCCCGTGGACTGGTAACGAATGAGTGAGTGATGACGTAGAAAACAGTGAAAACTCTCAGTTGACACTAACAAATCTGTCACATTTCTTGTAATTTTGTATCAGTCAGCGTTGAAATACTCTTGAAATAATGTCCGATAGTGATATCTACCTACCCTCAGCAAGCTCTACCAAGAGTTGTGATACATCGCACTCAAGTAGTAAAGAGGAAATAGAAGTTAAAGGTACGGTTCAGCCCTGCGAAAAAGAGAGGCGCGTGCATCAAACGAAGATTTCGACGAAGAGTGACGAAGATGGTTTCTCGTCCGCGGTGTTCAGGTTAAGATTAGAACAAAAAAAACTCCCCTTACTAAATGTTTAGTTTGATGCGTTCGTATGTTGTTTCCTAAGGCGAAATCTATGTTCAGAATGGGTCACTGTGTTCGGTTCTGTTGCCATAATATTTTATTCCTTCGCATTAAGTGCCGCGAAAGTTCCCCCAGGTCAGTGATCTCGAGTTTCGTTACTGTAGAGTAATTCTCTTCGCAAACCAAAAGCTAAATTTTCACGAAAGAATCAGCTGTATCACGAGGCACGGTGATTTTTTCGCCGAGAAGTCATCTGGCAGTTTCACTGCAAGTTGCTCCTTTCCTCGGAGAATGCAAAGGCAGAGGCTATCGTCGTCGACCCGGTCAAACGGAAAACGAGTGAGTTTATAGTCATCTGTTTCAAGTTAATCTCAATTAGGGATTTTAATAGAGAAAAACTTTCTTAGTTTAAGTGCAGCATTGCCATATGACCCATTTCGCTCAATGGCAAATAACTGACATCAGTGTTGTAAACGATTATTTCGTACACATCGACTTTCACACGGCGTTTGGATTCGCTACCATGTAATTCAATAAAATAGTTTTCTTTTAAAATTTACCTCGTTACAGTGCTGTTATTACCGGTATATGTGTATTATTCTTGAAGCTAACATCATTTGGCGCTCCAGCCACGCAGTACGTTCGTCTTTTTTTCTAGATTTCTCTTTTCTCCATCATAGTTGCCGACGTGTCTTCACAGTTTTCTACGTCACAGCTATGTAACATGATCGCGCTTTGGCCGCGCGCCTATTGGGGACACTTTTTGGCCGCCAAATCGTACTTTCAATGCGCAAAAAAATGGTCAAGGATAACTCGCTAGGCACTAAGGTCGGTTATTTCTAATTTCAAATACAGCTATCAACCAGAAAATGCGAAATAAAATTTCGTGCCATAGGTACTTTAAAGTTGCTCAAAAACCTTTTCAGACTTAAGTTTTATGAGCGATGGATTATATGACAATGATTCCTTTTGCGGATGACCGAGCAAGACGAAAGACGAAACTGGCGGGACATCAAGATATTGTTTATTGTTATAAAGAATTTCGTCTTGCCGGTTAGAAAGTGTTGGCTTTCAACGTTCTATGGCTACAATTTGAACGACTTTATCATCTACCTAACCAGGGGCATATCTTCTGTTTGTTTGCTTTAATGACTTAATAGCGGACATGTTGAATTGAATTAACGTAAAATGGACTAAGAAACTTCTCGATTATCAATGGGTTCATAAAAAGCCTGTGCCTTTGTCTTCTAGCTAATTCCCCTGTATTCTGGAAAGTCAAAGGTATGCAAAGGAAAGTTCGAGAGCGCGACATTTCAATATACTGTTTCTTGAAGCCTTGCGAGAGAACGGAACAGGTTCTCATCGTTTAGGTTTTCCTCATTTTAAACTCTATCAGTTGACATAAAACGACTGTTGGTAAGCCTGGCAGCAACGGTCTTACTTGGTCAGTTCCACACGACAATTCGAAAATAAAATTTGATTCATTCATGAGAAAACATTACTTTCATGAACTTCGCTTTTTTTTTCGCTTTTGTTAGTTGTTCAAAGAGCTCATTCTCTATGTAATTGCTACTTTTTTCTATCCTACAAAAACCATGTAATGGACGGCATTATAAAAGACAGTAATTAGGGAGTGTCACACAGATTGAACATCAAATGCTATAGCATTTGCTCCTTAATAAAAATTTGAGACAATATTAAATCGAACCCCTTAGTCAACCTCACGACTGATTCACTTACTAGTTTAGTTGAAGCCATGAAGAGCTCTAAAATTTCTTGCAGAAAGACTTTCTTGCAAAAAGACTTCAAAGACTCGTAAGCTTTAGTAGTTCACACTGTTACTGACTAGCTCAACTGACTATGCTGGGGTTTCGTGTATCAATTTAAAAGTAAAATCGAGGCAAATAACAATGGATGATTGACGGATCAAAACAGGTTGTTCTCGATCAAACAGGTTTTTCTATACAGGGTGCAATGAATCATTCAGTTCAAAAAAAGGTGATACATCGAATCGAAACTCGATGATTCATGTTTCGAGATTTGCTCTGAAAGTGGGAAAAACACTACACAGTGACAATTGTTTGGCAATGGTTTAAAAGAAAGGAAACGAAAAGAAATTGCCACACTTTAGATATTCGTTAGAAATTAAAGCTTTTTATCGACGGTTTCCATTTAATATTTTTATCATGAAACCGAAATAACTTACCACAGCGTATGCAGGTTTCAAAATCTCCTTTCCTGCAGTGTCTTTGGCAAAGGGGCAGCCACCCTTGAAGAAGCTTGGAGGGGCGTCAGTTCCGTACCCTACTTGTTTTTCCTTACTAAGAGAGACGACGTCCTTCAAAAATTCAATCCATTGAGCTTCACCTTTGGACTGGTCACGCATCAAACCCATTATGTCTTGAAGCTCACCCACGGTCTTGCATTGTTTGAAAGGGCAGCCATTGTTGAAAGGAGGACATTTGCCACAGACGCCTTCTTTTTCTTGGGCAAGCTTGGCATATGGGCAGCCACCATCGAAAAATTCTGGGCAGTGCTTCGATATGTAATCTACGGTGACGTCTGAAGTCTGAAAGGTTGAAAGAAAAACGGAAAACTAAGGCTTAACGAGGCGATCCCTTATATAAGATGGCTGGAATCTAAAACATTTATCATTTACCGCCGTACATTTAGCAGGTCATAGCGATTAGGGCAATATAGTTGTGAGGTTAGCGAGAAAACGATTGACCCAAAGCACTTACAAAATCATGCTTACAAAGCGACCGAGAACTGTGCGTGGCCAGAAAGAGAGAGTTTTGAGGTTGTGCACATCTCTTTAGGTACTTCTGATTTATTTCCTGAGTCCTCAACGGTTTCATTATTTCTGTGGTGACTCACATAGGCAAACGATGCTCTATTTTGAACAAAAGTCTGAAAAGGTTTTTGAGCAACTTTAACGCTGTGGCTATTTAAAATTCCTCTAATGAGAAGGAGCCAGCGACTGGTTTTGCTGTTATTCCTTACTTTCTAGGTGTTAGGGAACCCATCGAGAAGTTTGAATAGCCACAACGTTAAAGTGCCCATGACACGGAATTTTTTTTCACGCAAATATTTAGCTTATCATAGGCTGGTTTGTACATAAGTCGTATGTACAAACCAATTCCGATAGAATAAAAATTTCAAAACACTGAAAACTCGGTTCTTTTGGGCTCTAAAGTGCTCGTACTTTGTCTTAAAAGTATCCCGTGGACTAATAACGAATTAGCGGGTGATGACGTAGAAAACTGTGAAAACTTTTAGAGACACTTACAATTTTGCCACATCTCTTGTAATTTTGTATCAGTCAGCATTGAAATACTCTTGAAATAATTTCCGATAGCGTTATCTACCTACCCTAAGCAAGCTCTACCGAGAGTTGTGTTACATCGTCCGCGGTGTTCAGGTCAAGCCTGAATGTCAAGTTTGTTGCGTTTGTGTTTTGTTTTTTTATGACGAAATCTATGTTAAGAATTGGTGGCTGTGTTCGTTTCAGTTGCCATAACATTTTATTCATTGTGTCGACGATCGAAACGCGTCCATTTTGGCCATACAGCTACAAGTCTGAAACACTGTAGAGTCGTATGATTCGTTCGAAATAATTCTCAATGCGGACATGGCTCTGCCTCTCCCTATTGGTTATCAAATGAAACAATAGAAATTCTTCATCTCCACAATTTCTTGCTTCTTGTGGTATTGAATCATCGGCAAGTTCCTCTATGAACGAAACAACAGCTGCTCTATACGCGACGGCCATCTTGTTTTTGTTTTTAAATTTAGCGCGCGATTCCGTTGACGCACTCTTCAACTTCGCGCCTGCTGTCACGGTGACTGTTCATCGGATCAGCTGCGTTCCTTTGATGCAACTGTGTGATTTTGGATCACAAATACTAATCCGGATCCTCGCAAAGGAACGCACCCTCCATCAAAGCTCTGTAAGGGCCTATTTACACGGTACGACTTTGTCGCATGCGACAAGCTTACGACAGGCTTATGACACGAATTGTTTCGTGTAAATCAAACCTACAACTCGCTTACGACTCTTAAGTCATGTCGTAGGCCTGTCGTAAGCTTGTCGCATGCGACAAAGTCTTGCAGTGTAAATAGGCCTTTACATGATCGTTTTAGCCGCACGCCTAATGGGACACTTTTTGGCCGTCAAATCGTACTTTCAATGCGCAAAAAAATGGTTAAGGATAACTCGCTAAGCGCTAAGGTCGGTTATTTCAAGTTTTGAATACAGCTATCAAACAGACAATGCAAAATAAAATTTCGTGTCGCAGGCACTTTGAAGTTTTTCGAAAACCTTTTCAGAAAAAACCTTTTATTTAGGGCTTAAGAGCGACAGATTACATAAAAGTTATTCCTTTTGCGGATGACTGAGCAAGACGAAAGACGAAACTGGCGACACATCAAGATTTCGTTTATTGTTATAAAGATAACGTCTTGCCAGATAGAAACTAGGGGCTTGCAACCTTCTATGGCTACAATTTTAACGACTTTATCATCTTCCTAACCTGTCGCATATTTTCTGTTTGTTTAGTTCTATGGTTTAATGGCGGACATTTTGAGTTGAATTAAATTAACATGTACTAGGAAACCACTTGATTATCAATGGGTTCCTACTAAGCCTGTGCCTTTGTCTGCTAGTCCCCGTGTTTAAGTGCCGTGTTTAAGTGTTCTTGATAGTCAAAGGTATGCAAAGGAAAGTTCTTATTAAATTTTTTAAGGTTGTTTGGGCCGAGATACCACTGAAACTGGTTGCAAAGACCAACCATGGCGTAGGTAGCTTTGATTTTAAGAGACGAAAACAAAAAGTGAATTGTCAAGCCATTACGATACTACTAACTAGATTTCTACATCGAATACAATCAAGAAGAAGCACGACATTTCAACCTACTGCTTCCTGAAGCTTGCGGGAGAACGGAACAGGTTCTCATCGAAAAAACTACATTGCAATCTAGGTTTTTTTCATTTTACACTCCATCAGTTAAGATAAAAATAGATTGTTTGTAAGCTTGGCTACAACGGTCTAACTTGGTTTTCCATACGACAACTCGAAAATAAAATTTGATTCATTAACGGGGAGAAAATATTGCTTTCGTGAACTTAGCTCTTTTTTTGCTTTTGTAAGTCGTCCAAAAGGCTCATTCTCGATATGATTGCTGCTTTTTTTCTACCCTGACAAAAACAGTGCAATGGACGACAATAATAATAAAATCATCATTCGTCAATCTCTGTTAGGATACAAACTAGCACTTGTAATATCTCCTTAGGATAAAAGAGTTTTAAAAGTGCAATATTCTTATTAGAAAAGACAGTATTTAGGGAGTGTCACACAGATGAACAGTAAATGCGATAGCTTTTGCACCTCAACAAAAATTTGAGACAGTATTTAATCGAACCCCCCGGTCAACCTCGGGACTGAGTCACTTACTAGCTTAGTTGAAGCTATGTAGAGCACTAAAATTTCTTGCAGGAAGACCTTCTTGCAAAAAGACTTCAAAGACTCGTAAGCTTCAGTAGCTCACACTGTTGCTGACCAGCTTAACTGTCTATGCTGGGGTTGCGTGTATCAATTCAAAAGTAAAATCGTAACAATGGATGATTGACGCATCAGAACAGGTTGTTCTCTTTCAAACAGGTTTTTCTATACAAGGCGCAATGCATCATTCAGTTCAAAAAACGATACATCGAGTCGAGCCTCAATAATCCGGACCTCGATTATTTGGATTTCTCGATTAGCCGGACTTTTCTTTGGTGTCAATTTGGCATGAACTTTTATTAGACATGATTAAGATCCGTAGCCATATTCTTTTCAAAACTACAGCGTTGAAAAGTGAAGTAAAGGCGTTTGCGAGGTTTTCACAAAGCAAAAGCAGCGTTCACACGCGTCGTAACTAATAAAGAACATTCGAATAAGATCTGATTGTTTAAAGTTGCTTATTTCACGCTCTATTGGCTTGTTCGGTGTGATATGCAAGATAAACAAGCCACACAGCGTCACGAATGTTTATTCACGATCTTCATGTCCTAAAAGCGTATGCGATTCGTTCCTTCTATAAAAGATAAGCAGTCTATAAATTTGCGATCAGAGAAAGAAGAAAAAGGAACCAATTTGTCAGCTGAATATGGGGTTAGTACGGAGCAGATATCTGATATTCGCAAGAACAAAAAAGGGATCTTCTTAAACTTATCAATAATTCATAAGTTTGACAGCCAATTAAAAAACTGGCTAAATTCGTCACTTACAAGAGTTTTGATATCGCTTGAAAACACATGAAAACCACGTGTGTTTGATCACATATCAAAACCACATCTGGTTTTTATCTGTCTTCTCACTGAAAATCAATATTCATGATCAGACAGAAACAAATTGAACACAAAAACAATACTTCAGTTTAATTAATCATTATTATTAATCGGCTTCCTGTTAATTTTTTTTTTGGTTAACAAAAATGTTTACATCACAATTCGTGAACAAAGAAGCATTCAAAAATGAAAAACCTGTCATCTGTCACAATTTAATTCTTCTTCCTTTTTTTCTGTCTCCGTTTCTGCTCCTAAATAAAGCTAATATCATGAGAAACTTTCTTCTCACATGTTTTCTCAGAAGCAAATAATGCATTACAACTGTGCCCGGTTCTCTCTTTAATTAATTTCTCTTCTACACCACCATTAAAGAGTTAAGAAACACGAGTGACGCGCAAACAATGGGCCGTTTTTCGCTTGCTTCCCGCAGCCTTGCACAAATTCGGCAAAATAGAATTCTAGGTGTTGATCTCTACGGGATTATTCTCAAAAACACCATTCTCGACTCTTGCCTGAAATAGTACACTTCATTCCTTATGAAAAGGGTTTCAGCCAATCTAATGAACAATTGATAAAACCGTATTGAACATCGATCATGCTGGTGACCTAAGCAACTAAAGGATTTAATGTTTTGCTTCCCACAGTTTCTTCTAAATGCCTTCGGGTGTCACAGATAATTTTATTAAGGGTCCTTGCTGGATACACCTTTCCTTCACTATTCGCAACCTCCTAGACAAATTTATCCAGCCAATAGTTTAAAGTGTTGGCATCCATATTTGCCAAATCTCTACTCAACGACTTGACTTTGTACAAATCTCCATAATCTTTAAAAGCGCCACCAGCATCAAGTACAGGAACTTTAACTTTCCTATTCACCCGCCATTCGTGAGAAATGGTAATCGCCCATTTGGTTTGGTAGGCATTTGACTTAGGGATACTCCCTTAAATCAATTTTGATTCTTCTTACCCAGTTTTTGAAGAACAAAAACGGCTTACGGTATTCGCTGCAGAAGACTCCGCCATCTTCACTCCCACATGACTTACGACGGACAACAACAAATTTCCCACGTTTTGATTATTTCTTAAGTACATAATCTCATGGGAAATTAGAGCACTGAAACAATACACCCTAATTACTGCAGAAGTGCGAAAATCTTTGGAAGCCAGGTCAAAAACTCGAGCGTCGTGTTTGAGCGGGGTGTCCAGACACCTCGTAATAGTAAAAGTACACGGCCTACGGCCTCTCACTTTAACCTGTTTCTCAGTGTCTGGACACCCCACTCAAAACCTTACACTCGGTTTTGATATATATATATATATATATATTACACGAAGTTTGCTGACAACTTAGAGACCAGCAAAGGATTGAAGCGTAAATCGCTGAAAGTTGCACATGATGAACAGCTCGATAAAGCCCCGTATGCCTGGTTCATCTTGCACTCCAGTTTCTGGTCCCATTCTTCAAGAGAAAGCAAAACTTTTACAGCCAGCTACACACAGATCCCACAGGTGGCGACTTTAGAGCTTCGACAGGATTGCTTGAGAAATTCAAAAATCGTCATGGAATTTGAAATCTAAGCATCCAAGGAAGGACGGGGTTTAACCGCTGAGCAAATCTACACCGCTGTGGAGATGTTTGCCTTACAGAACCTTGGTGTCATGCCGTGAAAAATCTACCCCTGGCTTCAAGAAATCAGAAGATTGCTTAACCATCCTTTTTGCGAAGCCACGATGTTTTAAAAAACGCGTTATTGGACAGTCTTCTTTCGAAGATGAAAGTAGCGGCGACGGGGAAGATGAGAGCCAAGATCAGAGAGTTGTTTCGAACTCTAAAGCTGTTGAATATTTCGAAAAGTGTTTATTATGGATGGGAAGACATAGCAATGTTAAAGCTATCCAGATTGTGCAGCTTCGAAGAATGATGGAACTTCGATGTTCGATGTTCTTTTCTACGACAAACTGACTTACTTCAACAATTTAGGCTAATGTAAAAACATTCATAACGGACAGTGAAGATGTAGGCCATATTTTTTTTCAAAACGATTTGTTAATGTTTTGCTTCATGATTAAAGGTCGCTTTCTTAATTTAATCAGTTTTTTTTCCTCATTAATATTTATATTCTCGATTATCCACACTATTTCGTCTTGTCCCACCATCTAGAACACCTTTGAACCGGACAGGAAAGAAATCTGCCCTGCCACTAGTAGTGCCCGAGCTCGCGACACCTTTCCCAAATCACATTATCTTGCATTCCTGATTTTCGCATCATATTTTTTTCCCGAAATGCGCGAAGTTTACCAGTCGCGAAGATTTTGAATTCGAAGGTAATTACATAACCGCGTAAGAAACTAAACACCTACAAGGCTCTTTCTGTATGTAATATTTAGACACTAAAGAGACCCACCCAATTGTATGGTAAGTTAGGCAAGGGTGCTCCGACAAAGTTGAATTTTCTTTTTTCTTCTTACTTTTCGGTTTTGCATCTTGACATTAGATAACATTGAGCAATAATGAAGACCAAAGAAGGTTCTGCAATTGCAATTCTGACAAATTGGTATTGTTGACGGGCTTTGCGCTGGAAAAATTATTATGCAAACTAGCTGGCTGCACAAAGCTAATTTGCATAAGTAATTCAAGCCAAAGTTAGACGCCTCTTGGTGGCGTGAGGTGTTCGCCGAACACTCCAGGACATCCGATAATCGCCAGAAAAAAGATAACAAAGTTTCCCTCGACTGAAATGGAAAAAACCGCCACTTCCAATAACTGCATTTCTAATCATTTTTCAGATACAACTCTACTTTGTTCGCGCATTGTCCACAAACAAGAGTCCAGAGAAATGCCTCAAAGAAACTTAACGAGTTGAAATGCAAATAACCTAAGGGACGGTACGCTAAATGATTTTTTTCTTGGTAAAAACAATGCATGTCTTAAGGAAGACAGCAGTTAATCGTGAACACAAGGTCCTCAAATAGTCCTGGCCAAAGGTCACAGCAAAATATACCATTAGGTATACAAGGTATACATTACCTAAGAGGGTAAAGAAGAGATTAAAAATAACCCTAAGGTATACATTACCCAAGTAGGTATACAAGATATTAAAAAAACCCTTAGGTAAGGTAACCCTTACACTACCCAAGAGGGTAGGAAGAGATTAAAAGTAGCCCTCAGGTATACACTACCCAAGAGGGTATGAAAGAGATTAAAAATAACCCTCAGGTATACACTACCCAAGAGGGTATGAAAGAGATTAAAAATAACCCTCGGGTTAAAACTGCCTGAGAGAGTATTCAAGAGATTAAAAATAACCCTCAGCTATACACTGCCTGAGAGGGTATAGAAGAGATTAAAAGTAACCCTCAGGTAAAAACTGCTTGAGGGAGTATAGAAGAGATTAAATATAACCCTCAGCTCTACACTGCTAGAGAGGGTATACAGGAGATTAAAAATAACCCTTAGGTATATACTACTCAAGAGGGTATTAAGAGATTAAAAAAAAAACCCAGGTATACACTAGCTAGGAGGGTAAACAAGAGATTAAAAGTAGCTCTCAGGTATGCACCACCTAAGAAGATATAGTGTACATTAAAAATAACCCTCAGTTATACAATGCCCAAGACAGTTTAGATGAGATTAAAAGTTACCCTTAAGTATACACTGCCCAAGAGGGTATAGAAGAGATTAAAAGTAATCCTCAGGTATAAACCACCTGAGAGAGTATACAAGAGATTAAAAATAACTCTCAGCTATACACTGCCCAAGAAGGTATACGAGAGATTTAAAATAACCCTTCGGTATACACTACCCAAGAAAGGATAGAAGAGTTCAAAAGCGCCCTCAGATATATACTAATCAAGAATATATAGGACATTAAAAATAACCTCAGGTATACACTGCCCAAGAGAGTACAGAAGAAAATAATAAACCCTTAGGTTTACACTACCTGAGAGGGCATAGGAGGGATAAAAAGTAACCCTCAGGTATACACTGCCGAAGGGGGTATTGAAGAGATTGAAAATAACCCTCAACTATAAACTGCCCAAGAGGGTACAAGAGATTAAAAGTAACCCTCTGGTATACACTGTCCAATAGGGTATGGAATGGATTAAAAATAACAATCAGGTATACTCGGCTAAGGGGAAATAGAAGAGATGAAAAATAACCCTTTGGTTTACACTACCCAAGAGGGTATAGAAGAGACTAAAATTAAGAGATTCAAAATAACTGCGCAGGGGGATATGGAAGAGATTAAAAATAATCCTTAGGTTTACACTACCCAAGAGGGTGTAAAACAGATTAAAAGTAACCCTCAGCTATACACTGCCCAAGAGGGTATACAAGAGATTACAAATAACCCTCAGGTATACACTACCCAAGAGAGTATAGAAGAGATTACAAATAACCCTCAGGTATACACTAACCGAGAGAATATAGAAGAGATTACAAATAACCCTCAGGTATACACTACCCAAGAGAGTATAGAAGAGATTAAAAGTAACCCCCTGGTACACACTGCCTGAGAGGGTATACAAAAGATTCAAAATAACCCTTAGGTATAAACTGCCCAAGAGGGTATAGAAGAGAACAAATTAAAATAACCCTCAGCTATACACTGCTGAAGAGTGTACAGAAGGGATTTAAAATAGCCCTCAGGAATACACTACCCAAGAGGATATAAAGGAGATTAAAAATAACCCTCAGCTATACACTGCCCAAGAGGGTATAGAAGGGATTAAAAATAAGCCTTCAGTTTATACTTCCCAAGAGGGTATAGGAAAGATTAAAGTAACTCTCAGGTATACACTGCAAAAGAAGGTATAGAAGAGATTACAAATAACCCTTAATTATAGGGGGTATAGGAGAGACTAAAAATAACCCATAGCTATACACTACCCAAAAGGGTATACAAGAGATTAAAAATAACCCCTAGGTATACACTACCTAAGAGGGTATAGAAAAGACTAAAAGGAGCCCTCAGGTATACACTGCCCAAGAGGGTATAGAAGGGATAAAATAGACCTCCTATGTGTACACTACCCAAGAGAGTATGGAATAGATTAAAAGTATCCCTCAGGTAAACACTGCCCAAGAGGGTATAGAGGAGATTCAAAATTACCCTCAGGTATACACTGCACAACAGGGTATTAAAGAGATTAAATATAACTCTTAGGTATACACTACCCAAGAGGGTAAAGAAGAGATTAAAAGTAACCCTCAGGTATACACTATCCAAGAGGGTAAAGAAGAGATTAAAAATAACCCTCAGGTATACACTACCCAAGAGGGTAAAGAAGAGATTAAAAATAACCCTCAGGTATACACTACCCAAGAGGGTATAGGAGAGATTAAAAGTAACCCTCAAGTATACACTGCCCAAGAGGGTATAGAAGGGATAAAAAATAACCCTTGGGTGTACACTGCCCAGGTGCATATAGAGGAGATAAAAAAATAACCCTTAGATATACACTACACAAGAGGGCATAGAAGAGATTAAAAGTAACCCTGAGGTAATACACTGCCCCAGAGGGTATAGAAGACAATAAAAATAACCCTCAGGTATACACTACCCAAGAGGGTATAGAAGAGATTAAAAGTAACTCTCAGGTATACACTCCCCAAGAGGGGACGAAAAATTGAATTCACACTAATTAATGTCAGATGACTGCTCTTTATCGGGAATTTTTATTTTGACAGAAAGTTGAGGCATCCACCGCCAACTTATATAATGTTAAATAATTTTATCAAAACACCCACGGAATTTAGCTTAAAGATAAACTTTCTGTTACTTAACCAATAACCAGTTTCTGTTCGGTTTATTATATTAAACTGTCGCCTTCCGTGGATGAATTGCGGTGATATCCTAAATATGCAAGAGGTTAATAGTGGCAAGGAGACCGACAAGGGTCATTTCGTAGTTTTTTTGTTCAGCAAAAAATTAAAACATGAATATGATAGCGATCTTCGCAGTAATGAACACAACTTAAGCAGTAGTGAAAATGAGGCCTGAAAAAACATTTAGGCCTGTACAGGATTTGAACTCATTTGAACTCAGTGCTGACCTCTGTCAAAAATATCAGATGCAATGGTACAACTGCAAATCGTCTGCACTGTAAGTACATATAGCTGTAGGTTATTTAATCCCATTTTAATACCATCCAAGAAAACTTCATTAAAATGAAAAATGATAGCCGTCTTATTGAAACTTGATACAGATAGGCAAAGAAAAATGCAATTATCTGTCACATCGATGTGGTATTGTCCCCATACATTTTCAGACTAAAAGTCTACACGATAACAGTACAGAAGGCAAATGAGGCTGAAATGATGATTAAAGTGTTTAACTTATTGACCTTATTCGAAGTTAAATACAGAGATATCCATGATAATTCCCCGGATGAGGTTGTCCTTAAAATTCAAGGACAATATCCTGGTGTGGGTATAAGAATGCTTAAAGGTCATCCTTAAAGTCAAGGTCTCACTTTGCAAAGAGAAAGGACGAGGCAGTCTTTACTCAGAGTAGATCCTACTGGGGTTCTTCAAAGATGGCTTAACTCGATCTGCCGCCGAATTTACTCTGTGCCATGTCCTCAAGCCCACTAGCTTATAGATGAAAAGAAATTTTAAAAACTCTAAGGCACAAGTACGAAACCTTGAAAATGCCAAAAAACATACAGCAATAAACATTCTCAAACTTACCTTTGAATTGTTGTAAAAATTGCAGAATAATTAATGCCACACGTACAAAGCACTCCAAAAGCAAAGGAAACGCAATTTGGTTTCCCACTCCTTTCGGGTTTCTGAAGTCCCAGGATGTTGGCCCAATGCCACGGAGCGAACAGAGATGGAATGATATTTGCACTGAATATTGCTGAATTGCATGTTTACATGAGCTGTTCGAATTGAATGTTTGCAGTGAATGTTCGAATAAAATGTTCGCATTAAATATCAGGATTGAATTAATGTTACAATTGAACGCTTGCACTGAATGTTCGAATTGAATTTTGTTTATATCTAATGATCGACTTGCATGTTTACATTGAATGTTTGAATTGAATGTTGGAATTGCATGTTTTTATGAAATGTTCGGATTGAATGTTTACATTGAATATCGGAATTGAATGTTTGAATCGAATAAGAATGTCCAAAAGGAAAGTGTTATTAATATATTTGAATACCCAAGATGAAAGTTTCGTTAAAGGATGTGAAGGTTGAATTAAAAACCCGCTTATTTGAAGTTAATATTCAAATGTTACTAGAGGGTTTGATGTTTATAATTAAATGTTAAACCTGATTCATTGAAAGTTTTAACTGACTATTTGTGCGTTTGGAGCGCATGATTAAGTGTTCTAATGGATTTCTAAAGGCTTATATGAATGTTTAAATCACAATTTGAAAGTTTACAGTTAATATTGCAAAATACGCAATATCCCAACACCACAATCTGTATATAAAAGTTAAACATTTTGGGAGGAAACTGGCTGAATAAAAACGTACCCTTAAACAACACACCAAAATGGAATTAAAAGTCATTTCTGAATAAACTACTTAAACGCCAGTTGGCCCAGTCAGATCCTTCTTCCTTTCTGAGGAAGCCTAATTCCATTTTGGCATGATGCACTTTCCATGTGCATCACGAGCAAAGATTGGGCAGGTATCTGGAGGGAATGGCCAAGGTCCAGCCTTCTTCTCAGCCTCCCTGGAGATTTCATGAACCCTCTTCATCAGCTTCTCGAATGCAGCTCCTTAGGAGTGGCTGTCTTATCTCGCATTTCGGCCAATTTGCCCACGTACTCACCCATAGTTTTCAGGTTGAATGGACATCCGTCTTTGAAACCAGGGCAGTTTCCGGTAATTCCTTTCGTTTCATCAACAAGAGATTTATATGGGCACACATCTTTGCCAAAAGCTGGGCATTTCTTGACGATCTCCTCAACCGTCAAAGAATATGGACACCGCAGGTTTAAGTGTAAAGTTAAACTAGAAACGAAAATATTTACCGGGAACTGTACACAACAGCTCAAATAAATCAGCCGTGAGCTAATCACATTTTTTTTCACTTCAGGTAATAGATTCTTTAGAATGATTCATGTTTCGAGATTTGCTCTGAAAGTGGGAAAAACACCAGACAGTGACAATCGTTTGGCATTAATTAAAAAACTGGGGAAAGAAAACAAATTCCCGCACCTGAGCTATACGTTAGAAAGCTCTTTATCGATGGTTTTCATTTTGTAGTTTCACTCTGAAACCGAAATTACTTACCACAGTGTATGCAGGTTTCAAAATCTCCTTTCCAGCAATGTCTTTAGCAAAGGGGCAGCCACCCTTGAAGGAGCTTTGAGGGGAGACAGTTCCAAATTCTACGTGTTTTTCCTTTGTAAAAAAGTGGACATCCTTCAAAAACTCAATCCATTGAGCTTCACTTTTGGACTGGTCACGCATCTGACCCATCATGTCTTGAAGCTCACCCACAGTCTTGCATTGTTTGAAGGGGCAGCCATTGTTGAAAGGAGGGCATTTGGCACAGACGCCTTTCTTTTCTTGAGCAAGCTTGGTATATGGGCAGCGACCACCGAAAAATGCTGGGCAGTGCTTCGATATGTAATCCACGGTGACGTCTGACTCCTTAAAGGTTTAAAGAAAAACGGAAAACTAAGCTCAACGAGGCGATTCCTAATTTATGACGGCCGGAATCCAAAACATTTACCATTTGCCGCCATACATTTAGCATATCCTAGCTGTTAAACCAATATAGTTGTGAGATTAGCAAGAAAACGATTGACTTAAAGCACTTACAAAATCATGCTTACAAAGCGACCGAGAACTGTGTTTGTGATCAGACAGAGAGAGTTTTGAGAGTCATTTATTTCCTGAGTCCTCAACGATTTCATCATTTCTGTGGTGTCTCCCATGAAATCACTGCATAGGTAAATGGGTGTATTTTTGTACTTTCCAAATTCGGTCAAGTACATTCATTCTCAAAAAGCTGTCTGGGTTGATATCTTGTTGACTGTAGAGAACAGAATTTGCTCCGACTTTTAGATCAGCTTCCACTTCCAAATTTTAACGCGGAGTGTGCTGCTCAAATACTACTTTGATCGCTCGAAATAGAAAGTTCTAAGTTTAACTCAGAAAAATGAAAAACTGAAACGATTAATTACAGTAATTTCATCTCATAAATACGTTGTGTCTGCACTACATAATTTCATAAAAATGATTCCCTTTGTGCGGATAATTGAGCAAGACGAAAGACGAAAGTGGCGACACATCAAGATATTGCTTATTGTTATAAAGACAACGTCTTGCCAAACAGAAGCTATGGGCTTACAATGTTCTGTGGCTACAATTTGAACGACTTTATCATCTTCTTAACCCGGGGCATATCTTCTGTTTGTTTAGTTTTATGGTTTAATAGCGGACATGTTGAAATGTACCAGGAAACTTCTCGATTATCAATGGGTTCCTATAAAGCCTGTGCCTTTGTCTCCTTGCTAGTTCCCCTTTTTATGTGTTCTTGAAAGTCAAAGATTTGCAAAAGAAAGTTCGTATTCAATTTTTTAAAGGTTTTCTGGGCTGAGATAAAAGACCATAGCGTCAACGGCTTTAATTTGAGAAGACGAAAACAAAAAGTGAACTGTCGAGCCACTACAATACCAATAACTATAATTTTTTTCTTCATTTTACTTCTAATACAAAAAAAACAAGCTCGACATTTGTACTGTTTCTTGAGATCTCACGAGAGAACGTAATAGTTTAGATTTCCCCATTTTGCACTCTATCCATTGAGATAAAATTTGATTCATTCATGGGAAGAAAACATTGCTTTCATGAACTTAGCTTTTTTTCGCTTTGTTAATCGTCCAAAGAGCTCACTCTCAATGTGATTACTACTTTTTTCCTATCCTTCAAAGACCATGCAATGGACGACAATAATAATAACAACATCATTCGTCACTCTCTTTTAGGATACTGCACCAGAAGCGACAAGCACTGGTAATATTTCCTCAGGATAAAAGAGTTCAATATTATAATTAAAAAAGACAGTAATTAGGGAGAGTCACACAGATTGAAAATCAAATTCTGTAGCTTTAGCTCCTCAATGAAAAATTTGAGACAGCACTTAATTGAAATCCTTGTCTAACCTCATGACTGAGTCACTTACTAACTTAGATGAAGCCATGTATAGCTCTAAAATGTCTTGCAGAAAGACTTTCTCCCAAAAATACTTCAGAGACTCGTAAGCTTTAGTAGTTCACACTGTTACTGACTGGCTCAACTGATTATGCTGGGGTTGGGTGTATCAATTCAAAAGTAAAATCGAGGTAAATAACGTTGGATGATTGACGCATCAAAACAGGTTATTCTCGATCAAACAGGTTTTCCCACACACGTCGCAATGTATCATGCATTTAAAAAAACGTGATAAGCCTAACCAATGTTTTTACAACGCCTATAAATTTGTTTTAAAGTTTCTGATTATTCGTATCAATAGGAGGACCGTCCAAATCTTGCTCACTTAAAACTCTTTTTTTGGCAAACCAAGATGATTGACTCAACATAAAAATAGATATATATATTTGTCGACCATCATAAAAGGCACCACCAGCTCATCGATCTAATTCAGACAGAATTGAACTTTTCAATGCCCCCGCACCAGTTTTAATAAGTGTTCAAATCCAGTCTTTACCTAGAACTGTATTTAGCTTTGCCGTTACGAGCTAAGGCTTAAAGTAAGTTTGGGTAATACATTCTGATACACCTTTGAACTGCACGGGAAAGAATCTGCCTTTTCCGCATCACCTGATCTCGCATTCCTGATTACAATCCATACATTTTCAAGTGGAAGGATAATGAAAAGATATAAAAAGATAATGAAAAGATATCAAAAGATAATGAAAAGATATCAAACAGCGGTTTCACACTATCCAGAAAAGCTGAACAACAATTATGATACTTTTTAATCGTTTAATCGCATATTTCAGGGGTTTAGAAGAGTACCTTGAGTTATTTGTGTGTTAAAAGTATATTCTTGTCACCCTTGCACATGTGTCAAGTTACGTAAGGTCGCACACCTGTCTGTTTTTGAAAACATGATGATGATTGCCTACTCCCTGACTCAAGTTTGATTAAGTTTTTACGACTTTCACTTTGTTGGTGAGTCAGTCAACGACATGTTCCAAAACTGATATCTTTGCTTTTCGTAAACCCTCTGATTTCAGTCTTTAAGACTCCAGATCCCGAAAGCTCTTTTGAAACTCTTTGTATCCCAGAATACAACAGGTCTTGACTATCTCAGACCATCAAAGGTCAGAACGAATGAAAATTACTTTTCAAAACAACACAAGAAGTCACGAACAACATATTCATCAATTCCACGCTCACTTGTATACTTAGAGAACCAAATAATTGAAAGTCTTCACTCAAAGCGTAACTTCAGTTAAGTTTTCTTTTTGCTGAAGTGTTCCGTTTCTCTTCTTACTTTTCGGTTGGACAACTTGGTGATATAACTTTGCATCATTGGCATTGGATAACATTGCATAATATTGAAAGACCAAACAAGGTTTCTATAATTGCAGTTTGACTACTTGGCATTATAGTTCACATCACTGACCACAGCTGGCTATTTCGTGATATTCGCCAATATTGTTATTAAATCAAAGGGTCACAGGGCCTGAAGTGCAGCTGAAGTGAACCACAGATCTGGTTCACGGACAGCTGCAAAAAATAAGTTTTACTCGTCATTGCACAACCAAAATACCTCAGCGTCGTAGATGGCTCTATCCAAGGCGAAGCTAATTTCCCTGTTTTAATTTAACAAAAAAAAAATGTGTTGAACTTGACCTTGCTCGACAAACATGGCATAGTTGAAATTTGATTGATTAAACCTTAGAAGTTGCAAAAAGGGTTTTTATGATAATAGATGAAAGTAAAGAACTTTCACGGATGCGCCGACATCGCCCATTTTTTTTGGTTTATTTTCTTAATCCTCGAGAATTTCAGATAATGCACAACGGACTAAGGTAACTTCGACATCGATCTTCAAGAATTTTTTTCTCAGACAAAAAAAACGCTTGACAAAATTTGTCATGTGACTGCCGGCTTTAATAAGATTATAGCTCTATCGAGTCTCTAGAACCATGTAACTCATGCCGTGATAGCCTCGGTTTGAAAGTGATGATGTGATATTTAAGAGCTATGACAGCGTTCTGGGTGTGGCAAAAGCTTTCATCTTAAATAAGCAACTCGATCCTTACTGGTGCAAGGTTCTATTGTAGCAACTGATTTTTCCAATGTTGCCCCACATAGGGTGTAGCTTGCTGAAGCCTGGAAAAACCGAGTGCTGTACATTGAAGCTATCAAATAAATCAAAAGTGATGTTTCGACTGTGTAACTGACCACGAATTGAGGTAACTACGATTGAAAAATTTCCTGTATGGTTCTGTTTTTCATTTCTTGTCAACTCACATGTACCCTCGCGTGTTTGCATTGTTAGCATTTTGAAATAGGGTCAGGTCATAAGGTTACATAATCATCATGAAAATGCCTCGTGCTCATAACTTGAAAAGCTAAGAAACTGCATGCAAGCTGTCTCCAGAACGGACGACTACTGAAATGAAAAATGGTTATCATGAAGAATGAGAGAACTTTATCAGGAGCCACTCTCTTCCATTATTTATCAATTACTTCTTTAGTCTCTGCATAGAAAGTTGCATGATTTTCCTAACTAGAAACCTTCTCGAGTTCAACCTTATTCTCTCGAGTTTTTAGCAATAAGTCTGTTTTGGTTCATTGTTCATTTGTGAGATTCTTGTAAAAGTGTTTGGGTTAGTGCTCTAATAACAATTTTTAATCTTTAAAGGTCAGTTAGCCAGCATGCCTTCTCATGCCTATCGGAAAAAAGATGTGTTCTTTAGAGTAAGCAGTCGGAGGGAATCACAGAGAGAGTGTTCGATAAGACTATGATCTAGATGATTTAGAGTTGGAGTGGAAAAGGAGGAGAGTGAAATGAATTTGGTGCGAGTGTAATTGTATTAGATGGATTCAAGTGGAGATCAGAAGAACATGCTAAGAGTCCTTATTGCCTTTCGCTAAGCGTGGCGCGCTCTCCGGCTAGTTTTCCCCTTTAGTACAACTCACAGATTTTTACCTCGCTTGGCCTGTTACACTCTTCGCTCGGTAGTTTTCTAAGCCTGCAGCTTTTAGAACATTAAACGATGTAGTTCGAAAGCAATGGGGTGTGAGTGTATGCATGTGCAAGGCCAGCTTTTTGCCTATGATCGTCAGGAGACTCTCCGCAAAGCTTGTGTTTCCCTATGGGCGTATTTACAAAAACCAGACCTCATCTGGTGAAGAGAAAGAGCTCACATTGTAGTTTTTCTTTTTTCTGCCAAAGGGAATCGCATGGTGGCTCTTTTTTCACCAAGTGCATCTCAAGGCAAACCCACCGAAAAACGCGGGTTTCCAGGCCATGCCATTACCACAGATTAACTCTCGCCTTTATCGTCGCTGATTCCACCTGGATCATTGTTTGTCGCTCTCTTGCTTAAGCGCTAGCAGGCGTAGATTCAGCCCGCTAGTTGTCGTTTAAGATGAAGGTCGCCCGCATTCATCGCACCGCCCCTCTTCCCGAATTAGTGAAGGGAGTAAACTCCATGCAGTATTCACAAGACTTTCTGAAGTATATCCACACCGAGTTTAGTGGTTGCATAGAGAGCTTAAAAGTCCTCGCTGGAAATTGGACGCTTGAACTTAAAGTAGAAATCAATCTTGTCGTGCAAGATCTTTGCATCAGCGATCGATGCATCTAGAGCTTCGTTGTCGATTGGAATACTTTATTCTAGAAAGTGGAAAACGGCATTCTTTGAGAGGGTCCGAATACAAATTGGTCCAGGCCGAAACGAATGGCTCTCATGTTGTTGCATCTGTATGTTTTTTTTTGTTTTTTTTTTGTCTTCTACGTAAACAGAAAATCAGAGACTTCAACTGGCATACTCACTCTTATAACGGTGAATGTATTGACGCTTAACAAAAGAGAGAACATATATATTTGAGCAGTACATAGTGATTTATTTCCGTAAACGTGCTGCTATTGATGTGATTTATTTTGAGAATTTTAATGAATTAGACTCTGAGTTTGCTCTATCCTAGATCCCTATTGATATACTTCTGGCTTTTACTCCTGGCGGTCAATGGTTAGTTATCTCATTACTTAAGTAAAGTGGATTTTAGATAAATGGTCTTTGTTAAATGACCCTCCAGCTCCTCGCCCGCAATCACTTATTAAAAAATAGTGCTTTATAATGAACTTCGAAGCTACTTCTCATGAACGAAATCCACTTGTACTTATCAAAATGAAGAGCGCTTTTTCTAGCCAGAGTTATTTGAATGATCAACGTCGCATTATCCAGGAAGCTGAATCGCAATTATGACAGTTGTTCCAGATAACATCCCCGTATCCCATGATTGGTCTAATCAGCCTTTTGTACAAAAATGTTAACGTGGATCTATCAACATTGTTTTTGACACATTTCAGTATATTTAATCGTTTAGAAGCTTTCTTATACATCTTAACTATACGATTTCTCCACGACATATTACTCTGCAAAGTTAAGCCTAAGTGAGTGTGAGACTCAATGTCTTTGACGACCAAGGTGTCAAGGTGTTCTGATGCCCAAATCTCAGAGCTGGAACTAAAAGCTATGTATTGCAAAGCGGATAATTTAGATTTTGATATTGGGTGTAAAACGTATCGCAATACTTCAGGATTGAGACTATCCGGCAGTTATCTAAACACCCACGTAATGTAACTGACTGATAAGCTTTCTGTTACTTAACCACTGACCAGTTTCTGTTCGGTTTATTAAACTGTCGCCTTTCGTGGGTTAATTGCAGTGATATTCTAAAAATGCAAGAGGTTTGTAATTGCAAGGAGACTGGCAATGGTCATTAAGTACAGGTTTGTTCGGCAATAAATTAATACACGAATATGAAAGCGATCTTCGCAGTAATGTACACTACTTAAGCAGTGAAAATGAGGCCTGAAAAAATTTAGGCCTTCACGGGATTTGAACCCATGACCTCGGCGATATCGTTGCAGTGATACAGTTTGGGCTTAAGAATACTTAAAGATTATCATAAAAGTCAAGGTCTCACTTTTAAAAGAGAAAGGACAGGGCAGTCTTTACTCAGACTAGATCCCACTGGGGTTCTTCAAAGATGGCTTAACTCGATCCGCCGCGGCCGAATTTACTCTGTGCCATGTTCTCGAGCCCTCTGGCATATAGATAAAAAGAAATTTATAAACTCTAAGGCACAAATACTAACCCTTGAAAATACAAAAAAGAAGCAATAAACATTCTCAAACTTATCTTTGAAGTGCTGTAAAAATCGCAGAATAATTAATGCCACACGTCCGAAGCACTCCAAAAGCAAAGGAAACCGGCAATTTGGAATGATGATTTGAACTGAATATTGCTGAATTTCATGTTTGCATGGAATGTTTGCAGTGAATGTTCGAACTGAATGTTAATTCACTATAAATGTTCGACTTGCATGTTTGCTTTGAATGTTCGAGTTGAATGTTTACATTGAATATCGGAATTGAATGTTTGAATCGAATAATGAGCGTCCGACATGAAAGTGTGATTAATATATTTGAATACCAAGATGAAAGTTTCGTTAAAGGACGTGAGGGTTGAATTAAAAACGCTAATTTCAAGTTACCATTTAAATGTCACTGCAAGGGTTTGATGTTTATAATAAAATGTTTAACCTGCTTAACTGAAAGTTTTAACCGACTATTTTTATGTTTGGAGCGCGTAATTAAATGTTTTAATTGGATTTCAAAAGGCTTATGTGAATGTTTGAATCACAATTTGAAAGTCTGCAGATAATATTGCAAAGTACAAGTTAATGTTTGTGTGAATAAAAATTGATCAATTGAACTTGGCGGTGTTGGTTTAATGGTTTCTTTAAAAGTGACGCACATAGGACGATTTTTCCGGAAGGCACCCTATTTTGTTGACAGTAACCTTTAGATAAAGGACATGATTCAATAACATATGCGAACTTGATTGCAATTTAGATGGCGAGTGGCCGTCCTCACATAAAAACATACTGATATAATTTCACGTTACTTTTCCTTTAAGAACCCCATGCAGAAATAAGCTGTCGCTTTTAAATCACAGAAAACTAAACGTGAAACCCCGAAGATAAGAGCTTTATTTTTATTCTTTTACGAAAAGGTTGAATAATGTTACAGCGTTGAAGCTGCGCTTGAGCACATGATCGGATGCAATTATGACCAAAGAATGACCTGAAAGTCCCTACGTTAATCTCGTCATAGGATAAACACTTTGAAAACAGGGAGGGGAGTTATTTATGGCCAAATAATTAAAAACCCTCTCCGGAAAAAGCCCAACACCGAAACATCAGTAGCAAGGAGCACATATAGCAAAATACTACAAAGTAGCATCACTTGCTCAGGCAGTTCTACACACACTACTCTAAGGAATAGGGTCATTACAGCCCGGCTGAATGAGCGGGAGCTCTCCATAGATAATTTCATACCTATCTCATCATCTCATCATATACCGAGGCTTCTTGCCCAACCAATAAAGATCCCAACATATAAAAAAGTTAAAATATCGAGAGGAAACTGACTGACTTAAAAACCTACTCTTAAACAAGACACCAAAATGGAACTAAAAGTCATTTCTGCAAAAAAACTACATATACGCTAGTTGACTCAGTCAGATCCTTCTCCTTCCACTCTGAGGAAGCCTAATTGTATTTTGGCATGATGCACTTTCCATGGGCATCACGGGCAAAGATTGGGCAGGTATCTGGAGGGAATGGCCAAGGTCCAGCCTTCTTCTCAGCCTCCTTGGAGATCTCATGAACCCTCTTCATCAGCTTCTCGAATGCAGCTCGACCCTTAGGAGTGGCTGTCTTATCTCGCATTTCGGCCAGTTTGCCCACGTACTCACCCATAGTTTTCAGGTTCTTGAATGGACATCCGTTTTTGAAACCAGGGCAGTTTCCGGCGATTCCTTTCATTTCATCAGCAAGAGCTTTATATGGGCACACACCTTTGCCAAAAACTGGGCACTTCTTGAGGATCTCCTCAACCGTCAAAGAATATGGACACTGCGGGTCCAAGTGTAAAGTTAAACTAGAAACGAGAATATTCACTAGGAACCGGTACACAACAGCTCAAATAAATCAGCCGTGAGCTATCACTTTTCTCTTCACTTCAGGTAATAGATTCTTTAGAATGATTCATGTTTCGAGATTTGCTCTGAAAGTGGGAAAAACATCAGACAGTGACAATTGTTTGACATTATTTAAAAAACTAGGGAACGAAAAGAAATTCCCGCACCTTAGTTGTACGTTAGAAAGCTCTTTTTATCGATGGTTTCCATTTTATGTTTTCATTCTGAAACCGAAATTACTTACCACAGTGTATGCAGGTTTCAAAATCTCCCTTCCTGCAGCATCTTTGGCAAAGGGGCAGCCACCCTTGAAGGAGCTTTGAGGGGAGACAGTTCCATACTCTACGTGTTTTTCCTTAGTAAGAAAGTGGACATCCTTCAAAAACTCGATCCATTGAGCTTCACCTTTGGACTGGTCACGCATCTGACCCATCATGTCTTGAAGCTCACCCACAGTCTTGCATTGTTTGAAGGGGCAGCCATTGTTGAAAGGAGGACATTTGGCACAGACGCCTTTCTTTTCTTGGGCAAGCTTGGCATATGGGCAGCCACCACCGAAAAATGCTGGGCAGTGCTTCGATATGTAATCCACGGTGACGTCTGACTTCTAAAAGGTTTAAACAAAAACGGAAATCTAAGGCTCAACAAGGCGATTCCTTATTTGTGACGGCCGGAATCCAAAACATTTACCATTTTCCGCCATACATTTAGCAGGTCACAGCTGTTAGACCAATATAGTTGTGAGGTTAGCGAGAAAACGATTGACCCAAAGCTCTTACAAAATCATGCTTACAAAGCGACCGAGAACTGCGTTTGTGGCCAGAAAGAGAGAGTTTTGAGGTTGTGTGCATCTTCTCATTTATTTCCTGAGTCCTCAACGATTTCATCATTTCTTTGGTATCTCACTTTTAATTCACTGCATAGGTAAACGGGTGTTTTTTCGTATTTCCAAATTCGCTCAAGTATATTCATTTCCACAAGGTTGTACAGATTTTGCTTTGACTTATCGATCAGCCTACCGCTACAGCTAAAATTTTAACGCGGACTGTGTTGCTCAAATACTACTTTAACCGCTCGAAATAGAAAGTTCTGAGTTTAACTGATTAGGCTCAGTTTTTTCAACAGTCAGTTTACTCATTAAAGTGAAAAACTAAAACGATCAACTATAGTAATTTCATCTTATAAATACGTTGTATCTGTATTATGTAAGAGCGATCGATTACATAACAATGATTAGTTTTTGGCGGATGACTGAGCAAGACGAAAGAAGAAACTGGTGACACATCAAGATATAGTTTATTGTTACAAAGACAACGTCTTGCCAGATAGAACTGTGGGCTTGCAAGGTTCTATGGCTACAAGTTGAACGACTTTATCATCATCTTAACCTGGGGCATATCTTACATTCTACTTCTAATACTTTTGATACAGTCAAGAGCAAGCACGACATTTCAATCTACTGTTTCTTGAGGCCCTGCGAGGGAACGGAATGTTTAGGTTTTCCTCATTTTGCACTCCATCAGTTGAGATAAAATTTGATTCATTAACGAGGAGAAAACATTGCTTTCATAAACTTAGCTTTTTTTTTGCTTTGTTAGTCGTCCAAAGAGCTCATTCTCATTGTGATCAGTTACTGCTTTTTTTCTACCCTACAAGAACGATGCAATGGACGACAATAGTAATAATAACATCGTGATTCGTTACTCTCTTTTAGGATACTTAGCATCAGAAGCGACTGATAATATTTCCTCTGGATAAAAGGGTTTAAAAAAACGCAATATTCTAAGTAGAAAAGACAGTATTTAGGGAGTGTCACACAGATTAAACATCAATACTACAAACAGCTCTAGCTCCTCAACAAAAATAAATCTGAGACAGTATTTAATCAAACCCCTTGGTTGACCTCAGGACTGATTCACTTACTAGCTTAGATGAAGCCATGTAGAGCTCGCAGGAAGACTTTCTTGTAAAAAAGAATTCAAAGACTCGTGAGCTGTAGTAGTTCACACTGTTACTGACTAGCTCAACTGATTATGCTGGGGCCGGGTGCATCAATTCAAAAGCAAAAGCAAGGCAAATAACAATGGATGATTGACGCATCAAAACAGGTTATTCTCGATCAAACAGGTTTTCCCACACAAGGCGCAATGCATCATTCAGTTAAAAAAACGTGATAATTCCTTACCAATGTTTTTATAACGCCTGCAATTTTGTCATCAAAGTTTCTGATTATTCGTATCAATAGGAGGACCGTCCAAATCTTGGTTATTTAAAACTCTTTTTTTGACAAATCAAAAGATTGACTCATCCTAAGAATAGATATATATTTGACCATCATATAAGGCACCACCAGCCCATCGACCCAATTCAGTGAGAACTTTTCGCTGTACCCGCACCAGTTTTAACAAGTGTTCAAATCCAGTCATTACCTAGAACTGGATTCAGTTGTGCCGTTACGAGCTAGGACTTAATGTAAGTTTGAGTAAGACATTTTGATACGCCTTTGAACTGCACGGGAAAGAATCTGCCTTTTCCGCATCACTTGATCTCGCATTCCTGATTTTCGCATCATTTTTTTTCCGTAATCGCGAAATGCGCGAAATTTGCTGGTCGCGAAGATTTTAAATTCGAAGATAATTACATAACCGCGTAAGAGACAAAATGTCTCAAAGGGTGTTTCTATATGTGGTATTTAGAAATCAAAGAAACAGTGTACAATCGTCCCGCGATAATGTTAATGTTAGAAACCACGAAATTGAACATCAATAATTGATATAATGCTAATAAAGCTCTCAGTGGACGTTTAATTTTTGTGAAAGGTTCAAAACTGTAGCTATTCGTAGACAAGCTTTTATTTTTTTGTCCTTTTTAGCGCAATCACTTAAATATAAACTCCCTTAGGCAAGTACTGCTCACCACGAAACACGTGTAATGATGCATCCCGGAGAAGATGTTGCACGTGGCTTGAACATGACCAACACGACAAGCTACGGATCAACTTTTGAACAGCTTCTGCAATTGAGGGGCTGTCCTGGTGTACCGGTACACGAGGGAATTCCTTTTGTTTTCATAACCATACATGGAGTTATGACGCAGTTCGTTAATGTTTCCTTCCTTTGTGTACCGGTACACGAGGACACAACCGCAATTGACGACAGGAAATCTGACTGGTGATGCATGAAGTGAGACAAGGCAAAAACAAAAGCTAGATTATGTCAGCAGGAAACACGTTGTGTTATTTTTGTGTTAAACGTATATTCTTGTTACCCTAGCGGCAAATGTGTCGGGTTACGTAACGTCTCAAGCCTGTTATGAAAACTTGATGATGATTTACCTTAGTGGCTCCATCTGATATAGGATTTGTTCGTTTTGATGAAGGTAGATTCAACCCAGGAATGATTAAACAGGAATTTTCCTTTACAATTAATACATTTTCACGTGGAAAGATAACAAAAAGATATCAAAAGATAATGAAAAGATATCAGTAAGCGGTTTCACACTATCCAGAAAAGCTGAACCACAATTATGGTATTTTTTGTCGTTTAGAAGCTTACCTTGTGTTATTTGTGTAAGTACATGCTTGTCACCCTTGCGAATGTGTCAAGTTACGTCACGTCGCAGGCCTGTTTTGAACACATGATGACGATTGCCTACTCCCTGACTCAAGTTTGATTAAGTTTTTATGACTTTCGCTTTGTTGGTGAGTCATTCAACGACATGTTCCAAAAGCAGTATCTTTCATTCGTGTAAACCCGCTGATTTCAGTCTTTTTTAAGACTTCAGATCCGTGAAGTTGTTTTGAAAGTCTTAGGTATCCCAGAATACTGGTGTTACATATGTCCGACCATCAAAGGTCAGAACGACTGAAATTACTTTTCAAAACAATACAAGAAGTCACGAACAACATATTCACCGATTTCATGTTCACTTGTATACTGAAAAAACCAAATAGTTGAAAGTCTTCACCCAAGCGTAACTTTAGTTAAATTTGATTAAGTTCAGTTAATTTTTCTTTTTGCTGACGTGTTACGTTTCTCTTCTTACTTGTCAGTTGGACAACTTGGTGATATAACTTTGCATCATTGACCATGGATAACATTGAGCAATATTGGAAGACCAAAGAAGGTTCTTCAATTGTAGTTTGACAACTTGGCATTATAGTTCACATCACTGACCACAGCTGGCTATTTCGTGATATCCGCCAATATTGTTATTAAGTCAAAGGGTCACTGCTTATTTGTCTATCGGATATTGCATAAGTTGTCATCGGTGCAGAGATTTGGCATCATGATTAATTTATCATACATGTTCTAGAGTCTGAATCGGTGCAACATTTCCGGAGTAACGGATGAGTTTGGCGGCTTCTCAACAAGGCCTGAAGTGGAGCTGAAGTGAACCACAGATCTAGCTCGAGGACAGCTGCAAAAACTAACTTTTACTCGAAATTGTGCGACCAATCAGTGCCGTAGAGGTGGCTTTACTCCAAGGCAAAGCTAATTTTCCTCTTTTAATCTAACAAAAGAAGTTGTAACGAAGGTTACATAATAAAAAATTTTCAAATAGGCAAATATCACCCTGGTCAATCTTTTGGTATGCACTGTCAATGAGTAAAAACTTTCAATAGCGAGCACTCATGAACACGAAGCATTTGATTAAAATGAATCACATAAAATTTCTCTACATGGAGCTTAATTGAAACAGAGAGTTGGCTAATGCAAAGCTCAAGAAAAATGTTTTGAACTTGACCTTGCCCGACAAAAATAGCATAGTCACCCATGGAAAAGGTTCCTATAGTAACAATTATTATAGTAATTCCAAACAAACAACTTTCAGATACGCCGACATCACCCAGATCGGCTGGTATGCACTGTCAAGGATTTTGAATTTCAAAGGGAGCTGAACAAATGAACAGAGCATTTAACAAAGCAGTCGCTTTCATATTCTTTTCTGGTTTATTTTCTAAATCCTCTAGAATTTCAGATAATGCAACAACGGACTAAGGGAACATTGACGTTGATCTTCAAGAATATCGTTCTCGTACAAAAAAGTCAATAACAAAATTTGTTATTTGACTGTCTCCATCGACCATGACATGACCCTAGGACTGCATTTAATATCCTCGATCTTTTGTTGCATTGCATATACAGTGTGCCAAACAAAATGGACCTTACGAGCCGCAAACCTCAACACTTTAAACTGAATCTGTATTTTCGTGTTCGATTTGAAAGCGACTTCTAGGTAGTCATTAGCAGGTGATGGATGCATTGCGGTTAAGTCAGTTTTATCCAGTGGATTCTGACTCTTATACGTCAAAGCGTTTACAGAATTTTTTGAGTAAATCATCGGTGACTGCTTGATATATTTCGACTTTCTACGAGCTTACTACAAAAACTATTTATCACCACCTAGATCAATTTTCTGGTATGCACTGTCAAGGAGTTAAAACTTTCAATAGCGAGCATTCATGAACACGAAGCATTTGATTAACAAGAGTCACACAAAATTTCTCTACATGGAGCTTAATTGAAACAGAGAGTTGGCTAATGCACAGCTCAAGAAAAATGTTTTGAACTTGACCTTGTCCGACAAAAAAATAGCATAGTCACCCATGGAAAAGGTTCCTACAGTGGCATCATTATAGTAATCCCAAACAAACAACTTTCAGATACGCCGACATCACCCAGATCGGCTGGTATGCACTGTCAAGGATTTTGAATTTCAAAGGGAGCTGAACAAATGAACAGAGCATTTAACAAAGCAGTCGCTTTCACATTCTTTTCTGGTTTATCTTCCAAATCCTCTAGAATTTCAGATAATGTAACAACGGACTAAGGGAACATTGACGGTGACCTTCAAGAATATCGTTCTTAGACAAAAAAGTCAATAACAAAATTTGTTATTTGACTGTCTCCATCGACCATGACATGACCTTAGGACTGCATTTAATATCCTCGATCTTTTGTTGCATTGCATATACATTATGCCAAACAAAATAGACCTTACGAGCCGCAAACCTCAAGACATTAAACTGAATCTGTATTTTCCAGTGTAAATTCGACGTGTTCGATTTGAAAGCGACTTCTAGGTAGTCATTAGCAGGTGATGGATGCATTGCGGTTGAGTTAGTTTTATCCGGCGGATTCTGACTCTGTTATACGTCAAAGCGTTTACAGATTTTTAGAGTAAATCATCAGTGAATGCTTGATATATTTCGACTTTTTACGAGCTTGCAACAAAAACTATTTATAAATGTAGTCTCCCGGCCTGCTTTAATAAGATTAAAGTTCTATTCAGTCTCTAGAACCATGTTACTCATGCTATGATAGCCTCCGTTTGAAAGTGATAATTATATTCTTAACAGCTAGGACAGCATTGGGAGTGACATCAAAATGTGCCATCAAAGCTTTCATTGTAAATAAATATAACTCGATCCATACTAGTTCAAGTTTCCTTCGTAGCTGCTGATTAAGGTAACTATAATAAATATCGATTCAAAACAGGTTTGTCCAAGGTTGCCCCACAGAGGGTATAGCTTGCTGAAGCCTAGAAGCACTGATTGCTGTACATTGAAGCTATCAAATAAATCAAAAGTGATGTTTGGACTGTGTTACCGACCACGAATTGGGATAACTACGATTGAATAATGTGGCTTCATGGTTCTGTTTTTCATTTTTTCCAACTCACATGTACCCTCGCGTGTTTTCATTGTTAGCAATTTGAAATAAGGTCAGGTTATGGGGTTACATAATCATCATGAAAATGACTCATGCTCATATCTTGAAAAGTTAAGAAACCGCAACTGTTTTCGTCAGTCATGTCATAAATTACCGTTGGTTCCAGATTTCTCGAACCTTTTTCATTCTTTAAGTGACCCCTTTTCCGCTTGTTTGCTTTATTTTAAGTTTACTTTCAAAGGTCTGAGATAACCTCGAAGGCTCAATATCAAACAAAGACCTATGATCAATGACACAGTTATAATGCAAAAATGTCCCAACAAAGGTCAATAGACGGTTATCTCCTTACCATTTATTAGACAAATTTTCCGCTAATATCCATCGCAGGCAGACGAGACATAGGGGAATCCTCAATATCGTACTCATTATGAAACAACAGCATCAAGTATTTTGTTGTTCATTGTTCATTTGTGAGGTTTCAAAATGGTCGTCAGTTCTGCTTGGTCCATGCTTTCAAGTATATAATTTATTTTTTTTCTTTTTCCTCCATGTTTAAGTTACCCCTAGTGGGTTGATTTATTTCAAAGTTAGTAAGCACTGAGTATTAATTCTGTGTTCTATAAAATGACACAGTTTATGTTTGCGTGGAACTGAAAGTTCACTCTTTACTCTCTTCAAACCTTTAAAGATGTTGACAAGATTTTTTTCTTTTTTTTACATTTTTGTACTTTCCGGAACAGCTCTTGCGACCAGCTCAATTTATGTCACTATCACTGGACTCTAAGAAACGATTTCTTTCCTTCCATGCACAATAATAAAGTTGAAATGTCAAACCCTATAGCTGGCTTTTCTCCGCTCGCCTTGTTTCCTATCGTCAGAAATAATCGGAGGACAAATGTCGACGCAAACGGGGGTTACAGCGCAATAACCGTCTTGTGATTTCGTGCCATTTGACATAAAGTAAGCTCAAAAATCGCATAGAAATGAATGGGTGGATTATAGAATGTTTTCATCTTAGAAAATCGTTTGACATGCGTCGATATTCTCGTTGAGTGGTTTATATTGTTCACCTAACATGCATACCCTCTGCTGTCCGCAGGGTTTTGTCTTTCACGCGACGATCATGATGTTGAAGATGAAGATGATGACGATGATGATCGTAATGACGCTGATGATAAATTCAGTTTACAAATGAACCTTTTGCATACCTTATTTCAACTATCTATAAATCGAGATAGATGAATAGAATTTTGTACCGCTTGGTTGGAAAAATGGATAATTCAAAGTCGTCATTTTAAAGTTGGGGTTAGGCAAACACAGTAACGCATGTTGTCATGAAATAAGTTTCACGAAGACTTTTTGTGAAATCATAAAGACAACATCCAAATTGCAGCAGTTTGTCGCATCGTAATTTTTCATATTGGTGGGTGCCTGTGAACCCCCCCCTCCCTTCCTTTTTTAAGCCAATTTTTTCAAGCATGGAGGTCAATATGGCAATGTGGTGAGAACCCTTTGTTTAACAAAGTGTGACCCCCCCACCCTCTTCACTTAAAAGATCCTGGCTCCGTCGCTGTTGCCGACAAGCTCCTTATGTCGGGGTTGAATGTCAGTGAGTGATTGTCCGCTGTCGGGAAGCGAGGTGCATATTCTTTAAGCTAGAGAGGATAATTGTATCTGTCTAAACGCTCAGGGGATTAAGGAGCAACTGTATCTCTTATTATTTGATTTCTTCTTTCCACTGAAAATATCAGGGCATCACAAATCAGCCCTTTTCATAATCTGGGTTCATAATCCATAGCTACCTTGCACGCACGAAATTATACATGCCATTTTCCCATGCGTCAGTTCAGTAATGGGTCACAGATGACGTCAAGATGTGGTATGACCAACCCACTGATATTCTTTCTACCTTAATAATTAACGATATAATACAAATTCTGGATCAATATCAGTATCTAGGCAACTGCCCACCTACCCCTCCCCTAACCCAACATTAACCTTAACTTGTTGTCAACTGACTGTTGTTGAGTTAGGGGAGGGGTAGGTGGGCAGTTGCCCAGATACTGATATTGATCTCAAATTCTTACACACGACGCGATATTCAAAATCTGAATACTTTTTGGGCTACCAGACTCTATTAACCTTTATGGTCCATCCCACACAGTCAGAACTCTAATTTTTAGGCAAGAATATTACAAATAAAGATTGCTGATGTTGTTTTTGTTGCTACTGTTTTGCCTCCGCCAAACAGCAATAGCAAACAAATTTCATAAAATATTTTTGCCAAGACACTATACGTATCTCGTGTCCTCAAGTGTGTTCGGGAATACACTTCCATCTTTAGCATCTTGCTACAAATGTGAAAAAGTTTGACTCTCCACAGCGGATAAGAAATTCTCGGTTATTAGATCAGAATGTGTATTAAGAACGCAAGTTTGACAAAAGGAAAAACGTTCTCAATCATCATGGAAGCTGCGGAAAACAGTGGTACAGGAGACAAGTGACTTTCCCTTTCAAACGCCGCGGTAGTTGTAGGTTCTGGCATCATCGTGTTACACTTTTCTTCTGAACAGCAAACAATATTACAACTCAGCAACTTGTAACTGGTAAATTTCATCATCATTTCTAACTTCTCGCAAGCCTTTTTTGAGTCTACGGGACAAAAAGGACAAATAAATACAATATAGGGTCACGTACGCACGGAAAGGTCAGCGAGCTCGACTTCGCATCGAGAGGTGTGGGTTCTAGCCTCTCCTAGGTTACCTTGGATACTGTCATCTTGTTACCCTCAAAGCATCTTTACAGGAGGGGGCATGATTAAGGTGCAGAGAATTTTCAGGGAAACCAAATATAAACTAAAATCCCGTCCATGAGCGGGAGCAATTAGCTGATAAGCTCTGGCTGCTGTGTGAATCAGTCTCATCCGCAGATTTGACCTTTCCATATATTTTCCATAATTCTCCGCGATACATCGGTGCAAATCATCATAGGTTTCAGTCGTCAGAAGGTACAGAAAGTAAACAACAGTGACAAAAGGCCGTGATATTTGGTAGTATGTGCGATTGAAAGGAAAATGAGGTTTCCTATTGAGGTGCAACAAAACCCTAGCTAACCACGCCCTAATTGCCAATGGTGACTCTAGCCAATACGGTACGTTAAATTATCATCGATATAGTTCTTGATATGCTGATTTGTTAATGAAAAAAATTATGATGATAGTAATAGCAATGATAATAATAACGATGATGACAACGATAATGATAATTATAATTATCGTAATAATAATGATAATTGTGATAATAATTAACAACGGGGAAATTACCACATACTGATGGCTCTTGCTCAGTAACCTGGTACGTCGGATACCATTTTTTCTGAAAAAATTCTTCTGTGAAGCAAATGAAAAAGTCTGATACCGTTGTCCATCGTAAGATTAGGTTGAAAATAACGATACTTCCTGAGCAAACTTTTCCTTGGAAATCCCCGCTCCTCTCAGGGAGTGATGTGGGCTTATTTCTTAATATGATTTACCTGAGCAGTCGATACAGCCCCTCGCCACCACATCCATAACTGCTGTGCCATTGTCGTATTGTCCATTAGCAGAGTAACAGTGAGTATTCCCCAACAAAGACGTCGTACACTGTGTTCTGGTTTGACTCTTTTCGCACTTATTCCAGTTGCTTTCGACGCAGTTGAAACATTTGTTAACTGCTACTAAAAGAGAAACAAAAAATAATTAAATCAACCACGGAATTGTGGAATTTTACATGTGTGGACCTCCTTTTTGAGAGTTTATCGGCATTGACTGTATTTTGACAATTGCATCCAATTAAAGAATGGTTTGATGAAGCAAGTACAAAGACAAGAATAGAAATGGTAACGTTTTTAATCGTTATTCAGTTGAATGATCGACAATTTAGCCCCCGTAGGTTATCGGCAGCATGTAACTTCTCGTTACCTTAACAATGCAGAAAATAGATGTTGAGAATAGACAAAAGATAGCATCATCTTCAAAAATCTTGATATAGCACCTTATTATGGTAACTCTCTGAAACAAAAGAACTCGTATAGTGGAGAATTAACGATCAGATCTTGAGAGTCTGAGGTAGTGCCCAGTCCTGTTTGTATTGCCCTGAAAATTAATTTCGAATTTGACTTCAAAGTATAACCTACACAATCGAAAACTGTTTTAAAATTATCTTGCGGTTCGACGATAAAAGCCGCCATTTCGAAAAACAACTAACATGACATGGCCGCATGCTTGAAATTTTGTTACGTCACAGGTAAGAGGCTGGGCTTTTATGCATGATTCAAAATGGCGGCTTCCGTAAGTTATTTTTTTGGAATTTTTTCCATTTTTTAGAAAATTTTCGATAGATTCAGTTACTCTTTGGAATAAAAAAAACTTAGTCAGTGTCCTTATAGCATACGTACTTTCGAGAGAGGAATATTAAATTTTCATGGCCTTCGGAGCAAACTTCTCCCTAAGTATATAATGGCCACCATGCATTCAAGTTTTTATGATTGATTAAACCAATTTGAGGAAGCCATATCTGCTAAGTAAAAGACATTGTTGGTTTTATGACAATAAATAGGACTCGTATGGTCCTTGATGACGAGATGACTTCGACACGTGCAAACGAAACATTCGTTCAAAATTCGTTCAGTGTAGGGATCATCAAAGAGTTTTTTAAAAAATACTCCATTCACAACAAAGCTTAAACATGTTTTAGACATGTCAGAGCTTTTTTTAAAAAAACACGGTTGAAAACTTTTGTCTTTTTAGAGGCTGTTTAAAATAATGTTTACAACTTCCAATTTAGCTCTTTGAAAATGCAAGTTTGAGATTACTTAAAGTCTCTGGAAAATCAATACAATTTTTCAGCCGGGTTGTTGTTGTTGAATTTTGGATAGTTTAATCTGGTTTATCTAAACATGTTTTGTTAGTGTGAATGGGGTATAAGAAACTCTCCGAGATTTTTTTTTTCCATTTTAATCTATTTTAAATTTTTTTCAGAGACATACAGAAAAGAGAATTTGATTAAGTGCATCCCAACCAATATCAAGGCATTTTTTGGTTTACTTTGACAGGATTTGATTACGTGTTAATTAATTGCGCGCGAGAGGAGAAGGTTAAATGTACACTCGGCACTCACTTGTGAAAATTCAACTAGGTCATCTGATCCAGATCTTTTTCAGGATAATAGGTGGAGTAGGAAATTTGTCCGAACCATGAAAGATGGACTTATCAAAAGAGATTCTAACTGTGAACTGAAAAAAATGCTAGACAGAACTTGAATGAGGAAAACGGTAGAAATGTGCGATGAGGGGTCGCGATTTCTTATACTACATGGATGACGGACCCCTACAAATTAAAGAAATGAGATGCCTCTTGAAGTATGTGGTTGATTTGTTATCATGCAGCAGATGGAATTTTTTCGAGTCTCCAGAGAAGATAATTTGAATATCATATGACGTGCCGAAAAGGTTTAGTGAGTATAGGATCGCATCAAAGCATATTTTCAGTTTCCTCTTAGATAAATTCCTTCGCAACACCGGCGTACAGATCTTGATACATTAAGAGAGGTTATGGTTTTTGCGGAGTTTAATTGGATCATGGATTTAGACCAAAAGGTCGCCGGTTCTCTCCCACTAACTTTTCCTTTTTCCTTCTTAAGTGTAAGTCGATTTTACCCTCGCTTTTCAACAAAATGTTTTTAAAACTATCATTTGCAGCTGTCATAATTCAAACGTGTGTCACGCATGTAATTTCGTCAATTTGCCACAGACAGAATGCTTAGTGAAAAACTCGCCGAAAAAAAGCCGGGAGGTGATATTTATTTTTCATTCCATATTATTTAACCTCAGCCTCGCGCAAGACACCGGAAGTATGAAAATTATAAGCCGCTAATAAACATTAGTCTAGGTATTGTAAAAATATTTGAACTCTTGCCTGACGGATTCAATGCTGATTTGCCGAAAATGTAATTACAGTAAAGCGCTTTTCGCTAATACAAAATAAATGAGAATCTTGGCGGCAAAAAGCCTTAAAAAAATTCCAACTATGAACGAAAATTTTTCGGCGACGTACTAATTATCAGAAAAGAGCATATATGTTGAGAAATTAAAACAAGAAATGCTGAAATGTAAAGAGCCATATCAAGTAAAAGGTAGACAAAAGAGACACAGCTGCCACTTAAATGTCAGGCATAACCTCACAGACGTCGGCTTTCTCTGAAATATCAGTGATAGAAACAAAGGTAAAATATTCATTTGTCAAAAAGCTTTTAGCGATCAGCATGATGCATCAGTTAACTGAAATGTGCGCACTGAAGGTTAAATGAGGTCTATGCGTTAATTGAAAAGATAAACGTTTTCTTTTTCACAGATAATCGCAAATGTTATTTAACAGCGAATATTGTCTTCTCTCACGCTTACAAAGCGCAAATCTAATTACAGAGAAAAATAAGAACTATTTTACGCCCCATTTAAGACCTTACTATGCTGGGGTTTTGAACACATTCTAGGAAAAGCTGGTGAGAAGATTAACACGGAGATGTGAACCTTAGAAAATTATCGTGTTGAAAATGGGTGAAGGCCTTAATGGCTTCCACGACATAAGTAAGAGTTCGCAGACCGCAATCTGCAATAAAGGGATTTCCTTCAAGTCAACTTTTGTTTATAGAATCACTTTCCGCGTTGGTATCGCTTACCTGACAAAACAGAAGCATTGATCAGAAGAAGGGAAGCGATAAGGAATACCGATTTCATTGTATAAATCGTGTTTAGAGGCGCTCCACGAAGGTTGTGGATCATCTGTATCGTTGCTTCATCACTGCTGCGAGCTAGCGTGACTCAGAAGGCTGTGGCCAGGCATTTGCTGACCGCCGGATTTTTTAGTTTTATCCGATTTGAGATAAGAACAGTGTCAACAGCGACAGGATTATCGACCAATCGTCGGCAAAATGGCCACGCTTGCTAGTGCATGGGAACTAGAAGCTGTTGGTTTTGATCAAGCGTCTTCATAGATCAGAGCCAAGACTCTAATTAGACAGTGACTGTCAATGATATTCGATATGAAGAAAAATACATTGTCAGATGCAGCTTGAGAGGGAAATAGTTTGTTAGAAAAGAGCACAAAAAAATAAAAAAGCACGCTGAAAAACTTCATCCTCTCATTTATTTTTCTCGCTTCATCTTTAGTCTTCATCTTTCACCTTTATCGTAAAAAAATACTCCTGTTACAACTGGTTATTTCATACGATACCCATCCTCTCAGTTCATGACGCCCTTATGATGATGGACATTACGACTTATTACAAAAAAAAAAACCTCTTTCAAAGGCCTCTCTTTTTCTTCGCATAAGGTAAAATATAGACAGAACCATTGGACTATATTTTGGACTATTTTTTGGACCTTTTTTTGGACCAATTTTTGGACCATTTTTTGGACCATTTTTTTGGGACCATTTCATCGGGGGGAGGCAGACCATTAGAACTTGGGGAGGGGTGGGATGCAGTCTATCAGAATTCAGGGAAGGCTGATAGGCAGACTGTTGTTAACGAGGGAGGGGTCGAGGACGAACTATCAGTACGCAAGGAGGGATGCAGGATGGGAGGTTGCTGTATTAGTAACGGCTACTGATTAGTGGAGTTTTTACTGGATCATACAAATTATTTTGAGCAGTTTTTCGACCGACTATTTGTATGTCAAAATTTTTGCGTTGGGTCGTAGCGTTTCTTTAATTTTTTGTATAGCTCGGTTTTTTCCTTTTTCTGCATAATTCTTTGTTTGGTCTGCAGTTAGCAGACCCTAATTAACTTTGACTGTTGCAGAAATTGGAAAGAGATTTCATGTTTTTTCAAGTCATTTCGAAACATAGCAGTCGCTTTGTTATTGTCTCTGAGGGGCTTACTGTAATTTATGACACCAAACGGAATGAAAAAATGTAATTTGTGAGATTAACTCAAATCGGTAATTTGCGAAAAGGAAATTTGTAATTAGTGAATTAGAAATCCGTAATTTTCGAAGAAGGTAATTCTGTATTTTGCACTTGTGTGGGTTTAATAAATCAATGCATTGGCTATGTGGAAGGAAAATTGCGCCAAATGTTAAGCCCTAAAATGCAAACTTGTTATTTAAAAAAATGATTCAGCACTGAAGCTGTGCTGTTTCAATCGTCAATTCACGAAGTGAAATGCGCGACTTCACATTCAACTTTAGGCGCGAGTTGACTGTATCTAAGAGTGGAAAACTGCGTATCTGAGAAGAAAAACGATTGCTTTGTACGATTGTACCGACAATGTTTTTATAGTAAAGGTATAAACGTGAAAACTGCGATAACGCCTGTGAATACTATGCTAAAGACCGGAAATTCCATGATCTTTGTCGTCTGAAAAGATCATTGACCAAAGGAAGGTGGATAAATTTAATGATCTACTGTATACACAAAGAGAAACGTGAGGCAACTGTTGGATGATTCATGCTTACCCGTGAGTATCATTTAGCACTGGCACGAGTCGACTTAACAGGCACACGCATGACAAAAAATAAAGAAACGCTACGGTCCAACGCAAACATTTTGATATAAAATAGTCAGTCGAAAAACCACCAAAATAATTTGTATGATTCAATGAACACTCCATTATTCAGTAGCTGTTACCAATACATCAATCTCTCACCCCTCCTTGTGTGCTAATAGTTCGTCCTCCACCCCTCCCTCAGTTACAACAGTCTGTCTACCAGCCCTCCCTGAGTACTGAGAGACTACATCCCACTCCTCCTTAAGTACTTATGGTCTGCCTCCCCCCGAAAAAATGGTCAAAAAAAAAATGGTCCCAAAAATGGTCCAAAAAAAAACCGTTCAAAAATTGGTCCAAAAAATAGTCCAAAGGTTCAATGTTCCAGTCCATAATTCACCCTATGTTCCTTTTCTTCCACAAGAGACCCTGGAGGCGAGGTCCAAAGTTCCGAAAGTCTCCGAAAGTTAGAGCACAACTTCCATTCCCAGAATCATTTTTTATTAATATGCTTAGTCATTTCTATCCCAGTGACATTCACAGGAGGGACCTTAAGCAAACCTCGACAGCGACGGCAACGTGGAAGGGACAAAACTTACTAAAAATCACTAAAATCACTAAAATTTGCGTGGTCTGAGAACGGGAACCCCGACGGCAATTATTTGCGTATCAATTCCGAACTCAACGTTGCCCGCAATCTCTGTGCTCACGTTGAGGTGTGGCACCGTAAGAGACGCTAAACATATCAAATCATTTGCAAAATTCTGACTAAAATACTTCTGATAAATATTTCTGATAAATTCGTTTTTTTATCGACGTCTTCCGCGGCGTTTTCATCCTGACTGCTTTAGGTCCCCGATGTCGTTTCCTGAATCACGAAACAATGACCATTTGCCCGTAATTATCAGTAATAACTCATCGTTACTTTTCTCATAAAACTTGATACATTATAGAGTAACATTTAGCTCGCAGTTCATCCACGTTCAGATGATAATCTATCAACTCGCATTTAAGGAGTTTCCATTTCTGGCTTGTCTCCATCTCACTCATTTTTTCATGATAACCGCACTTTTCGGGGCCGGTTTCTTCGTAAATATCTCTTCGAAGAGTAAATCCAATAATACCACCTAAAACAACAAAGAATAATAATCATGAATGTAAGACCGATCTATAGCCACCTGGTAAATGGAAGGATTAACCCCAAAGCGGGCCTTTCATGTCCTGATTCCTAGAAGCAGCCTTTACCCCAAAAGGCAACTAAACCCTTTTGCCCCTTAGAGTGACTAGCATCTAATTTCTCTTTTACAATACCACACTTGAATCACACAATAACTTAAGGTCACGAGAAAAACTAAATAGTCACCAACTTAAGAAGCTCTTGATTGTTAAACAAATACTCCTTGTCAGCACCTTAGGAAATGTTTTAAGGACAATATGGAGAATATGTAAAACCTCCAAAAGAGATTACTTATAAATTTAATAAATATACTTTTTCAAATGACCATAAAACCTAATTGGTCTCTAGAGTATACTTTCAGACTGGATTTGTGGTAATCATTAAACCATTTCTCCCTTGAGATAACACACAAAGTGACTTTAGCTAAGAAGTTATACTAATTACTAAAACTAATCTCATACTAATCATACTTATACTAATTACATACTAATCTTTTTTGTTAGTACATAATAGAACAGTGGATGGCCTTGAATGCGCGCTCCGATTGAATAATCAAATTCTGAATATCCTTTGCTATTTACCTCTTCGAAACTCGCACGGAATTTGCGCCCGAAAATTGTGTAATCGTTGCAGGAATAAATGAGTTAAAATCACCTTTCTGTGTTACATTATCTCACTGTTTTAGTATATACTTGCAGCAGGGTAAATATCAACCACTAACCACCTCCATTTCGGTGAATAGTTGTTAGTTATCAGAGTACATCTAATTTCCATCACCTGGTTTGACAATGCGCAGAATCTCGTCCAGAGCAACGGGTTTCACATGACCGACAGTAAGTGTACCAACACAGATTAGTGCATCGTATTGGTTCGTTGCTATTTCCGCTATTGGTTCGGCACTCAGTGGAGCACAGATGAACTCTTTATAGATGTTCAACTTCTTTGCTTCGTCCAGCATCTTCTGCGAGATGTCCAAGGCGTCGATATTCGTGTATCCCAGACTCTGAAGGACCTTACCCACAATCCCAGTGCCAGCACCAGCATCGAGAATTCGAAGCTTTGATGGGTCGTTGCAAAGATTTTCACGCACGAATTGGTCGAAGATAGGGGGGCAAGTCTTGTAGGCTATATATCCTGCTTCTCCTGTGACCTGAACACAATAGAATTTATAAATAGACTGCAATCAACACGAAGACGAGATGCAACCGTTCTAACTTGAGCCAGCAGGTCAGTAAGTTCTAAGTGCGACATTCTTTCATGTTGGATTTTTCCCGTGTTCATAGTTAATTATTTAATTCTTTTCAACCGGTAACTAGCCAACGTTGCTACTTATTGCCATCACCTCGTATAATTTATCGATATATACATAACAGCAATATTGCTCTCTTCTGTGGCCGTAACAATTTAAGTGTCTTATAGTCTTCCATCCGTCGTGTTGTTTGTTATTTTTTAAAATCATGTATTGTATAACTTTTGCAATTGTTTGTTGTTTTAGTTTCAACCTACGCCACTTCACCGTTGAGGAGTTAAAGTCAATTGTTTTGTTTCTACACGACGTGGAGTTGTTCATTCCGTGGCCACAAATTTCATTTTCGCATAGTACAGTTGCAGGGTCAAAGGCGCGAATTATACGGAGTTGCACAAACACAGCGTTCAAACGTCGGTCATTCGCAAAGGGGGTCAATTCTGGCCGGCCGCGCACCAATTTCCGGCGCAAAATTTCAAAGGAAAACATAATGAACATCCGCTGTCTCGCAAAATAGGCGAAAGAAAATTGACTCGTTCATTTAAATCTGTAAAAGGAAACATAGGGAGGGAAAAGGAAAACTAAAGATTCTTCGAACACAAAGCTTATCCAAGAATGGGTCAGTCCTGTTGATTTACAATTCTGTTTTGAGCATTACATGAAGTTATACGCTTTAAAAAACCGTAACTTTCAAGCTTGCGCAGTTGTTTGTAACTCGTGTAAGGCTACTTGATTCCCACAGCCTGAGAGCACGCTACCTTCTCATTACAACAATTGCGCAGGCACACACGTTTGACCGCTGTGTTGGTAACAAATCGTGAAAGCGACACAGTACCTTGTCATAAGTCTCTGCCCAATCATCATAAATGGTTTTGACATACTCATCAGTAGATTTGGGATTCAACGTAAGAAGTCTTTCTGAGTAGAAATGATTTTCTTCTGCCTTGGCCATGATTGAACACTGTTACAGAAAAATCGGGAGAAAAATCGTTAGGAACGAGTACTTTCTTCCATTTTGAAATATTTATCAGGCTATATGAGCTTATCGATTGTGTTTCGTAAGAGCGAAACCAAAACAATCGCAACAGCCAATCAGAACAAGGGGAAATATTACGGATAGCCATTGAGATCTCAAAGCTAAAACAAGCACAACTCCCCGAAGCGCGGGAAAGTGCAAGCAACCAAGTCACGAACGGTTTAAATTTTGAATCTGATTGGTCGAGAAAGTGGCGCTAGTGTTATCGACACTCATTTGGAAATTGTTCTTTATCGATCAAATTGTTTTCCAGCATCGCCCTTCAGGTAGCTTTGAACAATAAATAGTGACAAATGAAATTCAGTCCTTTTCTCAGAATAATGACCATGGGATCTTGAACTAAGCGCGGAGCCATTTAGCGATTGCAGGCGTTCTTTCCTAAAAAGATCCGCCCCCAGTTACCACACACATTATGTCTCCACAGTCATGAGAGCACTCAGAGGGAAGAAGGAAGTGGTACCTAACAAAGAGCACCCTTTTGAAGAAACAAAAGAATAAACAGTGAAGATTGTCCATGCCGATAGAACTGAATTGAAGCACAATACTGAGTTAAGGCTATGACTAGCCTCTCCTTCATGGTGAACTCCATATTGGCGCACCGCGTGGCACTCTCATAACTCTGCGCCGCGCACTCACATCAACTTTTTTTTCTGATTTTATTTTCAATTGCGCCGAAAAAGAGGGACCGTTTGTGGTCTATAGTGAGTTAGAGAAAAAGAAGTCAAGGAACTACAAAAAAAATGGGTAAAAACGCTGAACAAAGTTAAAGAAGAAATTAGACTTTTTCACATTTGGGGTAAATTACTGAAAACTGATTGGCTGAGAAACCTGGCGTTGTTTCAGAAACACTTTTGGTCATCCAGAGGGTGTAATTAATTGAGGGGATGAGATATTTTACCATGAACTATTTAGCAAAATAAACTTTGCCCTTCATATGTGTACACGAACTACTCCATAAGATGTAAACGATCTGTTCCACATGAAATGGGTGAGGGCCTGTGGACACCACTTAAAAAAGGAGCTCTGTATCACTTAGGTTTTTTTGTAACAACAATTAATACCACAAAACAAAAACAAAATTGGGACAAAAGATAAATAAAGAAAAACATGAATTACTAGGGAAATTTGTGAGTTAAAATGGAAACAAAGATGCTTATTATCATTACTCCCAGACCCAATTAGTAATTCTCCCAACCGTCTGTTATACCATGCTTATGATATTAGTTCTGAGAATTTAGTATTAGATCAACTAATAATAACCTCATTGACATTTTTCTTTATTCTCAACACTTGTCTGCTTGAAACTGTACAATAATTTATTTTCTGGTCACTCACAGGAGTTACAGGGTTAACCTTTCACTCCCATGAGTGACCGAGATATAATTTCTCCTCACAATATCAATACAATATCAACCAGATAAGTGATGAGAATAAAGAAAAATATCAATTTGGGGACAATCACTTGATCCAATACTTAATTCTCTGAACTAGCATTATAAGAATTGTATGGTTGGCAGTAAGGAGAATGAAACATTTGACCTGGGAGTTAAAGGGTTAATTGAAAATCAGAAATAAAATAGGAGCCACATGAAAATTGACTTGAATGACGTTATAAGTGGAAATACCACCAGTAATCACAAAAATCACATGAATTTAAAGGAAAAAAATCCACCTGATTTAAAGTCCTTTAAATCCACCATGAATTTAAAGGAAAAAAATCCACCTTATTTAACAACAGAATCTGATAAGAACCGTAATTTCCAGCCGATTACCCACGGATAATCTGTTAATTTTTCCACAAACAGTTGTTAGTGCGGGTTATAGGAAGGTGCGGGTAATACGATCATTTTTAAAGCTTCCGTATAGTTTTAAAACTATTAGCAGGAAAAAACCAGAGATGATAAGATCCACTACAGATACTATTTAAAAAAACTCTGTAATAACTCATTTATTTCGCGGAGATTGCTCGTTACTATAAGAGACTTAAATGCTCTCGATGAAAGCCGATGCAAATCGAAAACATGGAAAACTCGATAACAAAGCTTTTATCTTGTTTATACTCTTATTTTCTCACTTTGTCAATTTCACAGCTTGTTTCTTTTTTAATTTAAAAAAAAATAATTCTCACTTACACGGGAAGTGAACTTGAAAATAAAAGAATTTAATTGTGAAAAAGCTGGCTTCAGAGCAATTCACACGGAAAATGATGCTGACATATTCATTTCGTGGCGCCGCATAATTAATGACGCGACAGAATTTTCGACGCATTAGCGAAATTTCTTAGCTAGCATTGCCTCGAGTTAAAGAGTAATTTCCCGTTTCAAGAGATTTCTTCGACTAATAGATCTCGAGGCGCCTCTCACAGGCGGCCCAAGCTCCAGCTGTGAGATGATCATCGTGCGCAATAACAGTCATGGTTTGTATGGGAATATTTACGACCGCTCTAAGGAATAAAATAATACGTCAAATTCTCAAAAAAAAACCTCACCTTACTTCCACAGCGTATTGCTTGTTATCTGACCGCTTAATTTGATGAAAAGAACGCATTCTAGCGAGTTGTCCATTTCGAGGTTTTCAACGTTCATAAGGAAAGGGCTTTTCTTATGTACGTTGAAAACCTCGAAATGAGCAACTCGCTAAAATGGGCTCTTTTCATCAAATTAAGCGGTCAGATAACAAGCAATACGCTGTGGAAGTAAGGTGAGGTTTTTTTTTTGAGAATTTGACGTATTATTTTATCCCTTAGAGCGGTCGTAAATATTCCCATACAAACTCTAATAATTCCGCCATGACTGTTATTGCGCAAGATGATCATCTCACAGCTGGAGTTTGGGCCGCCTGTGGAGATATGGATTTTTTTTTTTGAACAGATTTTTACAAGTGGTATCATTCTCAATGAAACAGCGAAGACAAAAAGTGTGAAAATTTATTAATTGTATGCTAAAGGATACCATGTCAACAAAAACAATGAAAGGTGTGCGGGTCGACGATTTTCTTTTGTTTTTGGGTGCTGGTTATCTGCCAGAGCAGGTAATCTGTTGAAATTTTTTTCTCTTTATTGCAAAAATTGACCGATGCGGGTAATCTGCCGTGCGGGTAAATGGACGGAAAGTATGGTACTTTGTTCATGTTGAGCTAAATTTCTTTGAATCAATAAATGTAAAATTCTTGCATAAAAAATATCTCATAGTTCCTTCTGTCTCTTGCTTTATTTTTTTCTGGTTCCATTCAAAGAAACCGAAGTAAACAAAGATATTTCAAACAACATAAAGCAAATCAATCATTAATAAATAACAATGAATAATCATACAAATTACTGAGATTAAAAAGCAGTAGACTCCCATAAAGTGGCTCTTCTTGTTCACAACTTGAAGGTTGAAGGAAATTTGGAGAGGTGTTTGTCTATGAGGGAGGATACCCAAAAGTACAAGAAATTAAAAAACCCTCACAAGAACTCAACAGATGGAATCTGACATGCACTACAACATTGAAAGCTGGAGATTCTCACCACTGCACTATCATAATTCCCCAATTAACCTTTTAACATCTCCAAATAACCGGCATCTACTTTCTCCTTAGAACATCATTCCTATATCAAACACTTAAGTCACAAGAATAAAGAGAATTGATCACCTACTAAAGACACTCTTGATGGTCAAACAAATTCTCCTTGATAGCATCTCAGGAGATGTACAGAAAACAGTATGGAGAATCTGCATACAGATGTAAGGGTGTAAAGGGTTAAAGGGAATTGCAAAGTATGACATTGTGATATCATCATTGAGCTAAAGCATAAATCTTTAACATAGAATTACTTGTTCCTGCATTGTTTTAAGGTGGCACTTAAAACTCATTGACCAATCTAACAGCATTAAAATGTATTTCAACAATTTTTTAGAAGTTTAAGCAGGTTTTGCAATTAAGTTGACTGTGTCATATTTTTAATGCATCATTAAGTGTTGGGCAACAAGATAATGTTGCAACACAAAACAACATGACGGTTGCAATGGTCTCCATGCTGATGTCAATCTCCTGTACACCAATTGACGATGGGAAATTTTGCTTTTAAAACAGGTGCAAATTCACATGTATTACTGACAGTGGTCAAAGATTTGCAACAATTTTTTAAAGTGATTCATAAAACCAGATTACTACTGCTGTGAAAAAATAAATAATTGCTTCCTAACAACTTTGAGAGGCAATGAAGTTGTTTCATGTCAGTTACATAATCAACATCTCATTTCTTATCTCACTTCTTATCTCATTTCACTGACGTAGAAAAGCCTATCAACTTGAATCAGAGGCAAATAAACTCACAATGTTTCATATAACAATCACTAAAGGAACTTGATTTTGATTTCTGCTCATTCTGGGTATTATTAGTCAACTTAACTATTGCAAAGTTCCCTAAAACTGCCCCAGGTAGATACCCAGAATCTCACCATTCTGCAACTTTATAATTCCATTGAAAGGTAACTAAATTAATAGATGAGTTCCTGAAGAAACTGTGCTCTGTACAGTAGTAGCATAAATTAGCCACCATTAAACTTATGTACTAAATTACCTGCTAAATTAATAGATTTACAGGCAGCATTTTTATTTAAATTTTCTTGTCTTGTGCACATTGCGTTACATATGCGTTACATATTCCTTCTGTAATGCTATCTACTATTGCAAAACTTGCAAATGAATTGTAAAAAAAGGTTTTATTTACTCTGTAGAAGGAAAATAAAATTAATGATTTCTGGCATTTTATTGGCCAAAATCTCTGTATGCATATCTGAGTATTTTTACTTGAGCACATCCTGCAAGCTTGTCAAAATTTTATAAAATAATTTTATGTGCCACAGCTCGTAAAAATACACATCAATACTACGCACCACATTGTTTAATAAAATACAGGTATTGTGGATTTTTACTGTGTTTATTATCAGATAAAGTCAACTAACAAAAGCCAAAGAAATATACATGTACTTTCTCCCTGCCACCTTATAGAACTAAAAGACCTGAAATGATCCTTAGATTTCTTAATTTTCATGTCATAATTACTGATATATAGTTTGTGTTAACAACACAGGCTCATTTTATTTATTTATTTATTTTTTTGAAGACACCAAGGGTAAAATTTCCACACAGACCCATACTATTGTAAAACAAATCTGTTTTCCCAATGGCAATGTATTGTTTTTGTCATTGTTTTCTCTATCCAAGAACTGAATGCACAATGTAGTATGGGGCTGTGCGGAAATTTTACCGGCACTCAAGTGAAGGATTGTGCAATGTTTGTGAAACCGTAATAAGCATACGACATTAATATGAAAGCGATCTTCTTTTCACTGCAAAATAAGGACTGGAAAAATTCAGTTCTATCCTGTACGGGATAAGAAGACATGACCTCGACGATACCGGTGCTGTGCTCTACCAACTGAGCTAAAAATCCAACTAGGAGCTGGTCACAATTTTGGTTCCAAGTAAACCCGTGAAGTGATGAATAAATGAAAATGACTGTGAATATATGAAAATCAGTAAATGTGAACAGCATTACTTGCGGTAATGAACTCTAAATGAGCAGTGGTGAAAACATGGCCTGAAATATTTTTTTTTCCTGCAAAACTTGCTTTCATATTCATGTCACTATCCGCAGTTCATGCACAAATATGATTTTCATGTATTCACAACCATTTATGCATACGTCTACTGTCTACGGCCATCTTATGCATGTACGTAGCGGACACATTTTCTGTTTTTTAAAACCTGCAGGTAGGGAGATTATTATCAAAATTATGATCGGTCTAACCTGTAGGGTCTGGAGAAGGTTCCACCTTTAGAAGTCACAAGCTCTGTTCAAAGTGCTGTTGGTTGTGCAAAAGCGATCAGGTCATGTTATACATAGTCAGCGGGTTCATTTAACATAGTCAGCGGGTTCATATGATCACGTTATCTGATCGACATCGTCATGGTAACATTCCTTGCGAAAACTATTTTGGGCTGATCTGCGACTGTTTTTCGATGGTTTTGTTTTGAATTTTTTCCATTAGATTTCTTAAGAGAAGAAAAAGAGGCTGAAAAATACTGGCTACTGTCACAAGCTTCTTTCCCGGGTGCTTGTCTAATTGTGCGTTACACGAGTAACGCAGCCCACACGGAAAATTGCCTTGTGGGATGGGCTCGAGAAGCCAGGTTGCTTAGCTGACGCTGTTTGCAGTGTTTGGATCGAAGATATCCCTCAGAGCACAAGAGATTCATTTAAACAAGGTATGGCTTATCCAGGCTATGGTGCTCCACCACCAGGTGGATATGGCGGGGTAAGTGAGGAGGGAGTTGATTGTCCCTTTGGAATTCTGAAAAATTTTCAATGATGAGCGAACAGTGAGAAAAAGCCGTTTACAGACGCCATTGTCAATCATTCTGGAATCACACACAATTATTCGAACTGGGAATTAAGCTAATCGTTGGAGCATTTTTGGTGCTTGAAATCACCGTTCAAGAAAGCTTTATTTTATGACATGTTTATGCAGAAGTTTTTTCGCTAGTGACCTGTGTGTTCATTAGTATGAAGTTGTCGAAAACGTAAGCTTACCTACGGAGTAACTACGAGGAATCGAAACTACAATTTAACTTTAATAGGAAAGTGCAGGTTTAAGTTAAGATCTTGGAGCGGTTTCTATTGAACCCCATAGCATTTTTAAACGAGGCCTCGGCCTCGAAGGTAATCCGTTGCTTTTGTCATTGTTTTCTCTATCAACGAACTATGTACACAATGAAGTTTGTGGCTATACGGAAATTGTGCCTCAAAAATTATGGCATATCTTAAAATTATGTATTTGTGTTTTCAAATCATGAAATTTTTAAACTATACCACAATTATCAAATGTAATTCGTTATTAAAACCCTTTTGCGAGCGATTACAGGACAGTGCATGTATTATGCTTGTAATCAGATAATGTAACAATTAGACAGCTTTCACACCATACCCTTCTAATGAGAAAATACATGTCATTCCCACAAGCTGACATAAATTTTTTACATTCATACACATTAGACATGAAAAGGTAAGAAAGAAATGTTCAACTTTCATGACAGCATGGGTGCAAAGTGTAATTTTTTCCACAATGAGGGGTTCATCTTTTAACAGATGTCACAAAAATTTTAGTACAGGCCCAAGTGATAATTATCTCAAGACAATGAGACTCAGCCAAAAATGCAAGAAATTATTTAGAGAACTCTACATTTTGTAAGTGTCTTGTATATATTTTCCCCAAAAATATACACAGATAGTTTTGAAAGGACTCAAGGGCAGTTTAAAAGTCACTCTGACTGGCAGACAATACAAACATATACATACTTTATTCATCCCAAAAAGGTTTTTAGCATGAAGGTACATTTTGCAATTAGAATATACATACATACAAACAAAATGTAAAATTTAATGTCAAATAAGGAATTAAATGCTCTCTAAAAAAGATGAAATCAATTGTTACTTTACGCAGCATTGGAAGTATTTCAAAGTGGGTTTTGAATTGAGTGGAAGGTCTAAAGAATACCAGAGTTTGACAGCTCTAAAATAAAATGTTTTTTTCCTGTGGGGGTTCTGTACAGGGAGATCTAAGAATCTAGGCATTCCTTATTTGTTTGATTGAGTATCATCAGCTCCTAGGATGTATTTAGAGGACAAGGCACACTCCCAGTCATACATACACATTTAAAGGCCATTATAGCATGCCAATGGTATAATTAAATGCTGTCTAAAAAAGATGAAATCAATTGGTTCTTTATTCAGGGTTTGGACTCTTTCAAAGTGGGTTTTGGCATGAGTGGAAGGTCTAAAGAATACCAGAGTTTGACAGCTCTAAAATAAAATGTTCTTTTTCTGGTGAGGTTTCTGTGCAGGGAGATCTAAGGCATCTGGGCATTCCTTATTTGTTCGGGAAGTGTTGTCAGCTCTTTGGATGTATTAATTTCTAGAGAACAGGGACTCTGGCACATGCCCAGTTACACATGTACATGTACAGTTAAAGGCCATTATAGCATGTAAGTGTTGTAATCAAATCCTTTCTAAAAAGGATGAGATCGACTGGTTCTTTATGCAGCGTTTGAACTCTTTCAAAGTGGGTTTTGACTTGAGTGGAAGGTCTGAAGAATTCCATAATTTGACAGGTCTAATATTAAATGTTCCTCTTTCCTGTGGGGTTTCTCTACAGGGAGGTCCAAAGCATCTGGGCATTCCTTATTTGTTCAATAACTGTCATTAGCTCTTTGGATGTGTTTAGAGAACAGGGACTTAGGGACATGCTCAGTCATACATGTACATGAAGGGTATTATAGCATATCAATGGTATAATTAAATGTTGTCTAAAAAGGATGAAATCAATTGTTTTTTTATGCAGCATTTGAAGTCTTTCAAAGAGGGTTTTGGTTTGAGTGGAAGGTCTAAAGAATACCAGAGTGTGACAGTTCTGAAATAAAATGTCCCTTTTTCCTGTGGGATTTCTGTACAGGGAGATCTAAAGCATCTGGACATTCCTTAGGGTGCAAGACCTGTCATCAGCTCTTTGGATGTATTTAGAGAACAAGGACTCTGGCACACATTCAGTCATACATATAAATTTAAAGGCTGTTATAGCATGTCAGTGGTATACATGTAATTGCTGCCCTGCTGGTTAGCAACCTTAGATCTTTAGAGATTGGGGAAACATGATTATATTTTCTTATTTTATCAATTGTGAATAAAAGTAACAGAAGGTGATTATTGCTCAAAATCTTGAATTCTTCTCTTTCCTTTTTGCAGGGTTACCCAGGCTTTCCAGGAGGCTATCCAGGTGCAATGCAGCAGCAAGATCCTTTGTTTGGATATTTTTCAGCCGTCGCTGGGGCAGTAAGTACCCAAATTGACAAATTTAAAGTTAAAGGTTTGACTCTTAGAGCTCAATAACATGTAGCCTCTGCAATATCATTTCAATATCCAATAATGAAGGTGATATGAAAAGACAAACCTACTAGCATTACTCACTCATGGCACCTGTGTTTGATAGAGCACGTCCCTCTTTTATACTCCTTTAACCCCTAAGATTGACCAGCATCTAATTTCTCCTTACAGTATCACCCCTGAATCACACATTAAGGTCCTGAGAAGAAAGGAAATGATCACCAACTAAAAAAGTGCTTGATTGTTAAACAAATTCTCCTTGTCAGCATGTTAGGAAATTTATAGAGAATATTATGGAGAATATGCATACTGAGGTTTTAGGTGTACAGGGTTGAAGAAATTTGGAAAAATACTAAATAAAAACAATTTAAATGCTTCTCTTTCTTTAAATTTTGATTTGATTTTATTCTGTCTTTCTGAAGGATCAGCAGATTGATGCAAAAGAACTACAAAGTAGTCTAACAAGTTCAGGAATGTCTGGAAGTTATCACCGTAGGTATTTCTCCATGAATTAAGTTTCAGTTCTGCAATGCAAGAAGAGTACTTGGGAGCATTTACATTAATTTTTCACATTCATTAAACCCTATTCACACTTTGGTATAAAACAGTCAAGCAGGGAAGAATATTGATGTACTATTTATCTCTGTTCTCCATCCTTGCTCAGATGACTTGTAAAAAAGGGTAATTACTTTGGTATCATGATAAAACCATTATAAAAAAGTAAAGAAAAAAAGGCAAAGCAAAAAGCAAGTCAAGCAGGTGACATGTGTACACACTCCAATTCAATTTTTAGATTATCAATATTACTTTCAATCGCTGACCTGCAAATAGGAATAGCTTGTCCAATATAATAATTTAGATTAAGATCACTATGAATTAAATTATCTTAGCTAATTGCAAAAACTAAATTGGATTTAGTGTTGGAACATACTTACGGTTGCATTTTATGTCCTTACCTTGATACATGCATTACCTATCCTCACAATTTTTACTACACTGTCCAGTCATTGGTTGACAAATGAACCAGATGTTTAGAAGTCTATTATAAGCTCATTTTAGTTCCCTTTCATTTCCAGCTTTCAGTTTGGAAACTTGCAGGTAAGTACAGTGTACATGAATATTAAACTTCTCAAGTTTTGCAGTTGAACTTCTTGTATTACAGTTGATCCTGTATTAAGCAGCACTGTATTAAATGGTCACCCTATATTAAGCAGTTGGTCATCAAAGTCCTGAAATTTCTTTCCTCTAAAGTACCATAATTTATACCTCTATTAAGCGGTCATGGTCATCCTCGACTAAGTCACAACAACCTGTTTGTTTTGTCTTCCACCTGTATTGAATGATCACTCAACCCTTTAACTCCCAAGATCTGATTGTTAACTCTCCCCTTCAGCTTTCACTCAATTCCTGGAAAATAAGTTAGACGAATTTGGTATTTGATCAAGATAACAACTTCTACCTGATAAGTTTGGGTATTCTCATTTGCCCTTTTGCTGGATAATGTATGGATATTGGGAGAAGGTTCATGTTAATCACTTCTGGGATTTAAAGGGTTAAAGCAGAACTGCTCAAACATGATTTAAAATAATTCTCAAGTAACATTTATTCCAAGTTTATCTCCTGGCATCAGTGTTCTGCAATGCTCTCAATGCATTGCAGATTATCTTTCTTCTTTGGTCAGTTAGGACAAAAAATACCCACAAACATCATGCAAGTCATTTGCAGGTCAACCTGTAAAAGCAGTCAACTTGTATTAACCCTTCACTCCCAAGATCTCATGAGTAATTCTCCTCACTGCCTGCCATATACCCTTCTCGTGATGTTAGTTCAGGGAATTTAGTCTTAGATCAATCAACAATCTCCTAACTGGTATTTTCCTTTATCCTTGTCACTAGTCTGCTAAATATTGTATTGATACTGTAAGGAGAAATTCCATCTTGATCACTCATGAGAGTGAAAGGGTTAAGTGGTAGTGTTAGTGGAGTCACAAAAAGAACATACAAAACTTGGTGTAAATTTGTGTGTATCATTGTACTTTTGGATTCCTTTAACAAGCCCATGCTATAACTTGCTTTCAAGCAGTTTAATCTATGCACTAATAAACTTATGAAGCGTTCATACTTAATAAGTGATACACTTTGATTTTTTTATTCTTTAGGATTATGATCACCATGTTGGATGTATCCTTAAATGTTGTGATGATTAAAATACTCTACAACTCATGTAGCAAATTCACCTTTAACCAACTTTGTACCAACATTGTTATATTCTAAATGTTTGAGGCTGCAATTAGGCCTCAGGCAAGTTGTAATAATTTTAGAATTTCTGAAGATATTTATGGAGAGAGACAGCAGTATAATTGTTGGCTCGCTTGACTGTGAGTCAGAGAGTCATAGTGTGTTGTTGAAATTTATTTTGTTCCCCTTCTTTAAGCCCGTATGGCTACCTTTATTGCTGTTGCATTCATTCATTTTTGCACCAATTATTCCAACCTACCAGGATGTGAAATTAATTTTTTTTTTCTGATAGCCACTTGGTTCCTAAATTCTTCAAAGTGGTAGCCAATTCAAAAAAAGTTGGTCACCATTTTCAAAGACAAATGAAACCTTTTTTTAGCTGTCAGCGTTTCAGATAGACCCTCCAAAATTAAGTTCAGAGAAAGATCTTTAATGTGCTACAAATTGAATTCAAGGATGGATGATATACAACGTCCAAGCTCACCTAAATTCAAGATGGCGTCTAGTCATTGATTTAGATGCATGTGCTGCGTATTGGAAACAAACTTAACGAGGAGGTTTGCAGCAGCTTTATCTTTATAAGGTTATGATGAAGCATTCTAGTCACTAATTTGGCAACTAATTTTCGGGATTTGGTCACCTAAGTGAAAAATTTAGTCACATTGGTACCTGTATTAGGCGCAATTTTACGCCCTGCCTACAGTTTGGTTATGAAATAAAAATTTTCTTTGATATACCTTAACTCCTCTGCAGCGTGACTATAGTGGTAAAATGGGTTTCAGTGAATTTAAGGAATTATGCGGTGTGTTGCATCAGTGGAAGGTATGTTAGAGGAGTTCAATCTTAACTGTGAGCATACATGTAGTCTTATTTTTTTAACCCCTTAACTCCCAAGATCTGGTTGTCAATTCTCCCCACTAGCTGCTACACATTTCCTTGTAAATTGGTTACAAGAATTTGTGAGTAAAATCAAAATAGCAACTGATAAGTTTGAGTATTCTCCAAACCTGTTTGCTGGTTAATGTATGGATATGATAGGGAGAAATCACATGTTAATCACCTCTGGGAGTTAAAGAGTTAAAGAGTTAAAAAAAAAAGTGTGGCTAAGGGAGGGGGGGGGGGGAAGGGGGCATTCATTGAACTGTATATCTTCTAGACATGGGATGTAGGTGTTAGCTGTTCACCAATATCATTATATGTATGTGACCTCCATGGGCAGAAATGGGAAAAGGTGACTGCCTAGGCATATGGAACTGACACCTTACACAAAAGGTAGTGAAAAATGTAGCTAGTGGCTCCTCTAGTAGGTAACATGAAGAAACTTAAGCTACCAGAGAAAACTTGTCCACATGTTTCTGCATGCCTGCCAATGCACCAATACATTGATGTAACAAAGACTCTGCTATTTGGAGCTATATTTTAATTCAGTCCCAGTATGGCATTTAATATGTTTGTTCCCCAAGTATAAGCAGAACAGATCCCTTAGTACTTCACCGACTTGGGCACAGCTGTGCTACACAGTGGTGCCTAACCCTTTACACCCCAACATCAGTATGCATATTCTCCATACTGTTCTCTAAATTTCCTAAGGTGCTGACAAGGAGAATTTGTATAAAAATCAAGAGTTTCTTAAGTTGGTGATTATTTGCTTTATTCCTGTGACCTGGATGTTTGATTCAGGGGTGATTTGTTAAGGAGAAATTAGATTCTAATCACTCTCAGGGGTTAAAGGTACAATGTAGTTTTCTTTGTCTTAGACACAGAATTTAGTCCCATGTGGATACAAACTGGTCCCCTAAACCCCCTGTTTGTGATAAGTAATACCAGTGCTTCTTTTTCATTGCTCTCCACTTGTTCATAACATGTAAATATATTTGGGTTCTATTTCAAAAGGGCACCCTCCTCTCAGTGCAATTTTCTGCCCTTGTTTCCTGATAACTGGATAATTAACCAATATTATGAAGGGAAGTTAAAGAGACTAAAAGGTTACATAAAGATTGATTTGTTATTTTGAACTTATATTTTACTTGGGGTGACTTGGAGATGTACTGTCCAATTGTTTAATTTTTTAACTGAATTGAATTCAACAAATGCCCCAAATTAATTCTTTTTATGCTGCGCAACAGACAACCTTTATGCAGCATGACAGAGACAGGTCAGGAACAGTTGAACCCCACGAGCTGCATGCTGCACTCACCTCTTTTGGTAACTTCGTTAGCTTTTTATTAATATTTTTGTTGTTGTTTTTGTTGCTGTTGTTGTTGTTTTTGGATTTTTTTTTTCAATATCATATCTAGAACTTATAATTAGACTGTATCAGCTGCTTGAAACCAAACCTCTCAAAGGGAAAATGTCAAATGTCAATTAATCACTGACATTAGTTTGATTTAGAAGTGGGGAGTCATCTAACTCCGCCCTAATCCACCCCTGCCAGCCTTATTTCTTGTAACCCTTCGTGTTGATTTGTCTTGATAAAAAATTCCGTTTCCTTCTAAATTCGTAGGTTATCGGTTAAGTCCTAATGCGCTGAACATCATCGTCAAGCGGTATTCAACCAACAATCGAATCACCTTTGACGACTTTGTTGCTTGCTGCGTGAGGTTGAGGGCTCTGACAGGTACAGTACTCAGACAAACGAATTTATCTGTTTGTTCGCACAAGTTACTAACAAGTTTTAGACTTAATATTCTCCTCTGTTTGACCACAGCTGGTGTTCATGTGTTACAGTGGTTTCATTTTGAAAGAAACTTTAAAATATTTCCCTTAAAATGATAATCAGATCTTGCTTCCAGTTTTGCGCGAAAGTGTGTCGTAAAATTTATGGCTTTTTATAGACTAGTTAGCCGGCAGAACAGGTATATATATATATATATATTTTGCATTTTCAGGCAACGGTGGCGGGCGCAACTTCATTCACGCTCCTCCCCTCGCGCATGACTTGCGCTTAGCTCTCGCCTCGCGCTTGCCTCCGTTCGCTAGAAAAACGGAAAATAATTAACCCTTATTCTACTGGCTAGAGACTTCTTGTTTTGTGGAAGCCGAAGCAATGTCTTGCCTCGAATGCAATTACCCGTACTAATTTTTTCCTAGTTTTATCCTCCATTTTCTCCATTGGCCCTTAAAGTTTCTTCGTTAATCTTGAACGCTCCAAGAAGCCTCCTGGAGGGAGGGGTGGCCTCATTTGTTATTTCTACGACCAGCGGGTTGTAGAAATTACTTAGAAGTGCTTGACTTTTCAAGTTGGAAATCAGGTGTTACTTTCTTCATTTTTGTTCTGCAGATCAATTTAGAAGGCGCGATACAGCTCAGAACGGGATGGCAACTTTTCAATACGATGACGTGAGTCGCTCTTTTGTTTTGAAACGCTAACCCTCAAACTCCCAAAAGTGATCGACATATAACTTCTCCCTATCATACCATAACTATTTCCCTCGGAACATAACACCACATTTTTCTGACCGATGATAAAAATTACAATTTCCTCGATTATGATTGGTATATAAAAACTTTTCTACTAATTCACTTGCCAAGTTGTTATGGGACAGTTTGTTATCGGACAGTGCAATAAGCCAATCACATTCAAAGTTGTAGTTTAAATCAACCAATCACATTCAAAGTTGTAGTTTAAATCCATCAATCACATTCAAAGTTGTAGTTTAAATCAACCAATCACAACCTTACTTTAAATCACCATAGAAACTGTGCACAAACTCTTCCCTTTCTTTCACAACTTGGCTATTCTTCGTTTCTGTGAAATTGTAATTTTTATGATTAATTGGCAGGCTCTGTCATCCTAACCAGTCCATTTTGTTTTTGGTTTTTGAGATGATTTTTATTGTATAATTTTCAAAACTTTAGAGACCTCCATCTTGAATGAAACCGGAACAGCTTTACGGGTCCTTTTCACTACAAGGAAAAACACTTTACTCTCACTGTCTCTCTCCACTTAAGAGTATAAATAGGTACCGGTGAATTGTCAGGGAAGCCTGATCAAATGCTAGGGGGTAACCTTACGATGGACTGATAACCCATCCAGAGGTGGGGTGAGGGGAGGGGGGTTACTACTCCTAGTCACTTCATGTTATGGAAATCGGAATAAGCCCTGAGGATGGAACATGTGGCCCGAACACGGGTTTTTTTGTTTATGGAAGGACATATCTCGATTGATATACTGTTCCTCCTTTTCAGTTCATCCAAGTATCCATGTATTGTTAAAGACGATGTACAAGTTCCTGCAAGCTCCTCTACCGTTATTTTTTTTTTAAATGCATAATGTAATCATTTGTTAGGCCCTTTTTTTTCTATGAATTAATAGTCAAACTTGAAAAAGATATAACAGAAGATACTTCGTCTCAAAAGAAGTGTTGGTTCTACAGTTACGATTATCGGCCAGAAATCTTCAAATGAGAGGATATGTTCTTTTGTTGGACATGTGTATTGCGCGCGTACATCCGTGCCTGCATGTTCATAGGATCTGCGTTTGTTCTCTTAAATAGTAACCGAGATTAGTAATTCAACCAGAATTACAGTAAACGTTTTAGAGGGCACTTTCTAGCACCTACGAAATTGTGCAATCTCCATAATAATTAGGTATTAGAACATGTTTTAGGTATGTACCACTAATGTAGGCTTGCAATAAATTTTAAATCGAAGATACCTACAAAGTCGCTCGTACAAGGTCGAGGAAATTGTCATGATGGGAAATTCATGATTCCATTGTGAGTCACTGTCTAGATTGTTAGGTGGCATAGTGATGGTTAGAATTCTCTCTTTTAGTGTACTTCTTTCCGCGATGAAATTTTTCCTGTATCCACCGAATACAATGAGTTGCGTTGGAAGTCTATTTATAACCAGAAAACATGAGAACTGTAAGCAAACGTGTATAACCCACTTTGGATAATTTAAGTTGGCAAGAGGACTGTTACAAGAGGGTTTACTTAACAATGGTCTTCTGCACGGAGTTCGCATTCGAAAATGAGACCGAATTCGAAATGTGACTGCAAGCAAACTAACATTTTGAGGTACTGATCTTTCAGGGAAAAGTCATTCTAAGGCTGGGAAAGGCTAACCAGTGCTACCCAGTTATCTTGTGCAGAGCCTCGTGCTAGTCTCCTTCGCAGCCGTTGTGTGATCTCGTCACACAACGTGCTCTCGTCACGCAACGCAACGGGAGAGAGCGCGTTGTATGACGATACTAAACAACGGCTGCGAAAAAATTCGAAGTTGCGATCCTCGTATAGGTATTTCTTGAAAAACAAAAATCAGGACGTGAAAACAAAAAACCCTAGAAATGCTGGAAATAGTGCCCCGTTTTGCAAGAAGTATTGACATCACAGTAATGATCTCAGGAGAAATATCCAGTTTTATTCAACTCCACACTTGCCACGTCGTACCACACAACCACTCTTCTTTCTTTATGAAAAGAATTTCACGAGTTTATGCTACAGGGTTTCCAACATTAACCCAAGCCCACGAAGCATGTTAGGAGACTCCAACTCAGTAGAACGGTGATTCATGAAATCGTCATTAGTTTGGTTCAATACAGAGGATTCCACTTCTTTTCCTTTCAAATTTCCATCCAATTGTGCAAACGCCAAATCATTCGCATCCAAAGAGACTGAAGGCTCATCCACAGAACCCGTGTTCGTCGTTGGCAGGAAAAGCTCTCCACGTGACTGAGAGTTTGGCGATAAAATCGACGAACTATCAGCGATTTTCATATCGGAACTTACCGACGTGTCTGTTACATCATGTTCAAGTCTATCAACAGTATTTTGGTCTGCAGCAGATGTTTCGTTCTGATTAAAGTTCCCGCTTCCTTGAGAGTAAACAATCAGCTTACTTTCGCTAACGCTACTTCCGTTGGCTTGAGGTTGAAAACAAAGGCTAGACTCCTTAACATTAGGATCACGAAGATTTTCAACGTCATCACAAGCAAGTCCTTGAGGAGACTCCAATCTTCCTTTATTGACATTTGAGCACAGCAGATTGGAAGAGGGTCCCAGGTTCTCTTTCTTTTCGTTTTCAAATGACTGAGGTTCACTGGGCTCCATGTTGACTTTTCCTCCAATCTCACATGGTTGATTTGAAGAAGATTTTTTCTTCTTTCCGAATTTCTTTTTGAATTGGCCAGGCGAGTTGGAGTCCAAGCATTTCTTCAGGAGAGCTTTGTTTCTCTTCCGTTTTTTAATTTTCTTTCGTTTTACTTCCAAAATCTTGGGCTTTTCCTCAGACACAGACCCTGAATCATTTTTCTCGAGGAAAACAAACTGTAGATCTACAAACGGCTACAAAGGAAAAATAGAAAAAAAAAAAATAAAAAAGAACGTCTTTTCTCTTTTCACAAACGTTAAAAAGACTTCCGAAGGTCGGTTAGCGCTAACCCAAGGTGGGATCTTAATCCGGGTTTCTTAATTCCTTTGTAGAAAAGCCTTTCGGGATAATTTTCTCTATTCCTTTATTTAGAGCATCAAATAATCAAATTCTACACAAAAAGAAGTATACTAAATTTTTTTGTACAAGCCCTCAGATTTCACACCAATCCTGGGTTAACTTAACCAAACTTTGAACAACCCGGCCCAGAGAGGGATAGGCCATGATATTTTAACAGTATTATTAACACCTTGACCCCCTAAGAGTGACTAACATCTAATTTCCCCTTACAAAATCACCCTGTCTGAATCACACTAAAACTTACGGTCACGAGAATAAAAGGAAAAAAAACACCAAATGAAGAAGTTTTTGATTGTTAAACAAATTCTCCTTGAGAGCATCTTAGAAAATTTATGAAGAACAGTAAGGAGAATATGCATACTGATGTTAGGGTGTAAGAGTTGATACACAGATATTTCTGGAAAGGTAACGCCTAACGGAAGTATACATTTTAAGAGAACAGGCCTCCTTACAGTGGGGGGAGGGAAGGGGAAGGTCCTCCTCCCTCCCTCCCGCCCCCCCCCCCACAGTATAAACGTGTTACGCTACGTTTGTTTTTCTTATTTGTAGATTGAAGCTTTGTTTTTTTCCCGCAGAGCCTTAACTCTCTGCATACATTTCCTCTAGGCGACGTGCGTTTCCGGTTTTATTTACCTTGGAATACAGGCCATATATCCTGCATACTTCTTTCATAGTCAGGTGACCATCTAAGATTTCATCGGAACGAATGATCTCAGTCTGAAAAAAGGAGCCGTAAAGAAGATGCTGAATTAAGTGAAATTATTTTTAGTGAAGGTCTCTAAAATGACTAAGATTTTGGTTGAAAACGTCAAAAATTGTGAAAACATCATCTGAGCAAAAAAAAAGGAAAGAAAACCATCATCTATCATAGCAAATCTTCAAGGAAAAGGCAGTGTTTAAATGGTCAAAAGATGACTACATTTTTAGTAATGGCTTTTTCATCGTTCATTTTACAGTTTCGTGACTAAGGTGCTGTCACGCAACACTTCTAATGAGGTGTTATCACGATTTTAACAGGCCAATTATCATGTCAACATCACTTTTACTTACTATGTGTGTTTCAGGAATAGCAAACTTCATGACCAGAAATTTCTTCAGAACTTTTACAGTCACTTCCGAAGAACAACGCAGATAACGCGTAGGGAAGACCTGCGAAGCAAAATGTAAACATTTTTCTTCACCCTAGCTCACTCAGTTTTAAAAATGAATTACGATAACCCAAATATAGGAAATTCCAAAATGACGAGGAGCCAGTGAACGGCAAATTCTTTCAATAGGAACATGTTCAAAAGGGGGTTCGTACAGAACGAGGTTACCATACATTGTATGCGTAGCGAATTAATCCGATCGTATAGTCTGATCGTCAAGGTGAAGATAGTCCTGAAAACCATTTTCGTCGTTTAAATTCACTATCGTTTCCACTACGTGAGCGGAAGTCATCATAACGGAAATGCAAAGTATATTGAGACGATCGATTTCTTATATCATATTGGGTGACGGAAAGCCATCGTATGATTCTTCAAAACGTGAAGTAGAAAATAAAGAACATTTCTTTACCTCCTTTTCCATCCGGTTCCTTGTTTTCCTAGAAAAGATAAAATCAAATCGAATCAAACAAAATATTTTAGCTTGCGTTTCAAACTTCCCTGTACGATATGTAACGCAGTGGAACGACACGAGCTAGCTCTCAATCTTTATCGGTTTCCTTCAACGAAACTCTCTCTAGCACCCTTCCACTAACCATTTTAAGCACAAAAGTAGAGATTTGCAAGTCTCTGGATTCGCAAAATATGCTGGGAGAATGCAAGTACAAACCCCCGCGGTATCACCCTTCCCATCTCCATCAGATCAAAAAGAAGTCAAATTGGGTTTGTACCTGAAATATTCAAGAGTTATACAGACAGGATCTTCGAAAGGAAGACTTTCTTTTTCTTGATCATTTGACGTTGCTGTCTCGTCAGTAGCTGTGAGAAACAGAAAACAACATCTCCAACTACTGATACACCCTAAGCAAAATCGTACTTAATCGTTCACGAAAACAGCTCGTAATTCTAATTATACGATCGTGAAAACGGCCGTACAAGACCTGTAAACTATTCTAAGAAGTTGTATGATGGTTTCAAATGAGGTCTTAACCACTGTCCTAACAATAAGCAATAGGCTTCTAAGCTTCCGCCGATCCACAACATCATCAGGGATAGAAAAGTTTCTGTAATGCGGCCGCATAAAGAGGGATGGGTAATGAGGTGTTATATAGCAATAAACAATGCCCAACAACTTGAGTTAGGCGAAGAAAGACGTCATAATAGGGAGTGAAGGCGTTGGGTGCTCTGGGGAATATGGTAAGGCCAAAAAGTGGGAAAGGTGAAATAATCATGAAATAAGCACAACAAATATCTAATTGGAATAAAATAACTTCTCCATAAAACTGAATAGAAGGGCTGTGAGCTTACTGCGTTCTTTTGGGGAACGCTACAGAATAAAGTTACGATAATATCAAAGTAAATGCAGGGATAGTGTGTGAGTTGGCTTCATTTTTCTCGGAAATACAATTGGAAACATTCACGATAAAGTTCACATAAAAGGACCTTTTTTTTTAACTTTATCATTTACGAAAGTTTTCCTTCAACGGTTAGTGCTCACTGCACTGTCTATTCACAGATAACCTACTAGAGTAACATAAGGCTGAACTGTAAAATACAAACCTGATTCATTCTTGTCTGTTTGACTCGCTTCAAACTCTTTACGCCTATTAACCTCCTCTGAAAAGACAACGATTTCATGAATAAGTTTCAAGTTCATGAGGAAAACCAAACATCACAAATAAAACACCGTCTGCAGAAGAGTATTTTTTTTCCTTACCATGATAAATACCAGGTACGATCTTGTAAACGATGTCTTGTAAAGTTCTATCAGGTCTAAAAATGAAACACAGATATGTCTTAATTTACCAGGCGTCAGGGCAACGTACCTTGATACTAGCCTCATGCTTTGTAAAGGACTGGCTGCAATTACATTATGCTCACCGAATATGAAGAAGCGGTTTAGTTTTGTGGACTTCAACATCACAAACAGGACAGTGATATGATGTCTGGAGATATTTAACGATACAGCTGCGACAAACTAGAGATAAAAACAGAATAAAAAAACTTAAGCGATCCAACTAAGTTGATAACAGTTCAAAAGTCAAGAACATGTCTTAATAACATTACTTTCAATTTCAAGTTTTTTTTTTTCATTTTCTTTCCAATCAATTGGAAATGCTACTTTTTTCTTTGGATCGTCTTGTTTGTGAGTGTACTTATTTGTTTGGTTGGTTTTTTTGTTGCTGTTTTTGTTCATCTTTTATTTCTCTTCGTTTTGCTCTGTTTTTTCTTTTCTTAATGTTTGTTTAGTGTTTTGATATTCAAAGCTGTAGCTAAGTGACTTAACCCTTTAACTCCCAAGATCTGATTCGTATTTCTTCTTACTGTCTCCCATAAAATCACTTGATATTAATTGAGAGAATTTAGTATCGGATTAACTTTAAGTCCCCCAAGTTATATTCTGCTTTATTCTCATCACATTTCTAATTGTAAGGAGAAGTTCTCCCTTTGTCACTCCTGGGGATTTAGGGGTTAATTATTCTTGTCCAGATCAACTGTTTTGGTCCGAATAACGAAGTGTTAGATGGTCACATTTTCTCAGTAAATAGAAGGAACAGGTCATTCTTTACCGCCTGGGAGGAGAAGAGGGTAGGATTTTGTGGGATCATATGATTTTCAGGGGGAACCGAGGGGGAATCAGTCGTCGCCAACCGCAGAGTATGAAGAGGGCTATACTGAGAAAATTGACCGCCAATGGGGGGGAATCAGGAAAACCAAAACAACCAAAACCTTCACAAACGAGGAAGCAGAACAAGCCTGCTGGCTCTTCTAAAGTCTCTCGCTCACATTCAGCAGCAACATCCATTAAAAATAGAAGTTGTAAAAACGTCTCACTACTTACACGAATGCAGACACTCGACAATGGTTGTAGCATCCACTAAGTATCCACCGCATAACACGCACATAATGTGAGGGTTTAAGTCCTGAAGCTGCATCGTACGAAGAGACATCTTGATTCAGTCGTAGGAACAAGCTGGAGAAAGAAGAATAAAAAACAACCAACTTTGGTTAAATTTGTAAATATACGAGGCACTAATGAGAATGTCGGTGTAAATTCCCGGCCTTAATGAACCCTATCACTCCCAAAGGGTGATCAACTTTTTAGTTCTCATATTAATATTGAGAGAGAAATAAGAGTGTGCATAGTTATCAGCCATAGAGTATTGTGTTGATTTAACTCTAAATTCTCCTACGTGACAAACAACGAAATACAACGCCGCTAAAAGGGAGAATTACTAGTCCGGTCTTCGGAGTCAAAGCGTAACGAGACAGTTTCTTGGGTTGCCAGTGATTCTCCTTGAACTGTATGTTCAGTAGTTTACTCTCAAAAGTATTCTTGCAAGGTCATTAGCTCGCTCGTCTCGCACTCGTGTATAATAAAATCAGCCTTCTTTTTTTAAGCCTTCTCACCCTAATATCAGTGCACATTCTCCATACTTTTCCCTAGTCATCTCCTGTGGTAATGACAAGGAGAATTTGTTTAAAAATCAAGAACTTCTTTAGTTGGTCATCTTTCTTTTACTCTCTTAGCCTTGATAACCGATTAAAATCTTTGTTTTCTTTCAGAGGAGAACAGAAAAGCTTCATCGTTGCTTTAAAAATGTCATTCAGCTTTGTATCTTATCAACATTTGACCTCATCAACGAAAAAAAAAAATTCAAAACGGAAAGAGTGTTGAGGCGGCTAGATCTTTGAAATCAAAGTAGTTCTGTTAACCGTAAGATGAGACCCTGATCATGAAACACTTAAATACTAAGCACGTTGGAATCCTTTTCTTTCTTCACCCTCCCTAGCCTCAAGCGTACCATTTACAAGCACTTAAACCCCAAGTGGTCAATTTCAACAGAAATGTACAAGCACTTTAATTCCTGCGTGCTGATGCTAAATATAGAACGAATTGGCCCTAAATTTGTCGTAGGATGCATGCAAATTAAGTAAAAATACATTGCAACGGGGAGATTGATTTCCTGATAGTATAAATACCTGAGTTCTTCTCAGTCTTAACATGTTTCTCTGTTATTTGTAGAGAGTTTGAAGCAATTGTAGCTTCAACAATAGTGTGCGCAATTGTTAAATGTCATTATAAAGTCATGCTAGCATACCTACATTTCGGGAAGACACTTTAGATGATTGAACTCGAAGTAAGCTGGCTTTCTTGTCCAAAATAAAACTAAAAACTAACTAAAGATCATGCAGCACATTCCTTAAATTCGATTGGAAAACATCTTCACGTGTTCATCGGCAGGCGAAAATTAATTTCGTCTTTCTCTTCCATGGTAACTAAAAACACATTTACATGTAGTGACGACCGGTACATGTATATTGGTTGATTATCATATATTATGGAGTCTGCTAACTCACACAGAAATATTACGGAATACCACCAATAAGCGGTCAGATGAGCCTCCTCGGACTCAAAGAATCTTGAAAAGTCTGGTTAGCTATGTGTTTCGAACTAGGAAGCGACAAAATAAAAATAAAAATAGAAGATGACTGAAACACACGCACGCGATAGAAACTTGTGATCATCTTTATGAATTCAAGTTGCGTTCAGTGCTCGGGTATCCGAGCACTGAAATAACAAGGACCATAGCAGGCACGGAACCATTCTCTTTCGACCGACTCTATCAGAATACAAGTAGCACAGTAACCGTGCCCTGTTCGTTTTAAATCAAATAAACCAGCAAAAGAAATGCGAAATATACTGGGCGAAAGTTTTAACACTACGACAATATTCTTATAATTATCGCGAACGTCACGCACTACCTTGCCACGGTCGATCGTTGAAAGCTGTCCCTGAGAAGTTGTGAGATGATAGAGCTTTGTATAAACTTTGGGTAAATTTTGTATAAACGTATTTGATGACCTTAAGGTCTTCTTGCAAGTACGCTTCTCTGTTCCGCACACCAACAAGGCTATTACTGCGATTTCAGGAGTCCGTTTAGTGTAGCTGTTTCGTAACCTCAAATTGATATTTCGATATTTCAGAAAAAGGCCTTTTCAGTCCGCTCTTCCAGAATTAAACAGGTCATCGTACTTTTATTGAAATTACAAGGCTCAATGTTCGACAAAACGAATCCTTTTCAAACGGGATCTAGACTACTGAGGTGACTGTGGACAGTCTGCGTAACACTGAGGAAACCGTTCTCACGCTGCAAAGCTTGACAAGGCGCCGTGAAATGCGACTGATGACACCTTTGGAGGAGAACTATTACTGCTCAATATATTTTATGCTCTCACGTAAATGTGTCCCCTTTAATTTTTATGAAGCTGGTTAGGAGGATATGAGCTTCACTGAATGTTGAAGTTTCAAATAAAATTAGGAAAGGCAAACAAATGCAAAAAGAAATATTTAGCGATAGGAGAGACCACTGAACAACTACACTCGTGTACGGGGAAGAACAGCAATTCATAGAATGAATTGTATTTGTAGAGTACCTCTCTATATATCAATGGCGAGATATTTTATTTCCCAAGGAAAAAAAAGCGATTCGCCTTTATTATCAGCTTTGACTTCTGACCAATCGATCTATACAGTCTCATGTTACTTCATTTTCAATAAACTTTCATTCCCGCAGCTGATAAGCGTGGTCTGCTAGTAAGGAAACCAACAACTGAGGATTTCTTCCGTGTGAAGTATGTTGGACATTTCTTGCACGGAAATTCGAACTTGATACATACCTCGAGCTCATTTCACTTCATAAGCATATCAAAACCCAGTCAAATGTTTGTTTCGCTTTTGACTGGCTTCCATAAGTTCCCCCAGTAAACTGAAGTCTTAGTCATGTGTAAAAAGCGTGTATGCATGAAAACAGTCAACAGAGGGTACGTTCACCTGAACTAAATCAGTTAAAACGAAGGTAACTTGTCCCACATACCACCAACCTGTTACTAAGTCGTTTAGCGAGATAGCAAATTAAGGCCGGTACATAAATAAAGTATCAGAAGACTGAATAGAAGAGTCTAGCCAGTATTAAAATTGTATGTCTACACTGACAGTCCTGATATATGGTCGGGCGTTCGACCAAGTCACTTAAAACACAAAACCACATTTCTACCGTCAAGACAGGAACCCGTATTTTAAAGATATGAAATACACTTTGTCTACAAGGAACAAACTTTGGCTCAATGATTGTTATGTTGGATAAATCACAAGCGAAAAAGTGAAGATTCAGGCGAGTCGCAAACCAAGCGGGTACTAGATGATCGATTGAACTTAAGTTGCGAGATCAACCACAAGCTCAAACGCTACTTTCAGCGCGATCAAACAATTATCTGATAACGTTTTCACACAAATAGTCGAAGAATATGTTTTTCTAACGTACCTATAACGTAAAGGAGTAAAAGCGGTCAACTACAAGAGAAATTTACCTTTTTCTGTGACCGTGTCTTCGCCGATTGATGAATTCGTTCCTGTAAAGGACACAGAGCGTAGCGTTGTATTGATTTACAGACCACGTGATCTGTTGTGTCAGTCAACGCCGAACAAAGGGAGCCGATTACTTGAAGAAAGCAGACTAAAGACGTGTGAAAATTTTTGTTTTGAATAAGGTAGCTTGCGTTTGGAGCAGGAAAGGGTCATTCGCGCAGAAGTTTAAGAAAAGAAACTGAGACAGATTTTGTTCGTAAAATTTATGAAGCGTTATTATCGGCAAGCCATTGCTCTGAATCTATGGACTTTTCAACAACGAGGCTCTCTTCTAGATTTCATTGTTTGAACAACTAAAGTTGCTCTGTGGTAAGATCATTCGTAATAAAGTGCACTTATCAATGACCGTTTCACGCAAGTAGTGCCAAAAGAACACGAAAGAATTGAAATTAACTTCAGAGCTAAGCTGCAAGCGAGTGTAGAGGATCATACGCTTGAAAGATGAAATGCAGCTTACTCTTGAATATTTGATTACTTATTGTCATCCAGCGAAGTAAGACAACAGAGACTTGCAAGAATGGAAGGACATGGTGAAATTGTGAGAAGGCTTACTTTTCAATCATCGCAAGAATGATGGTTGCACCTTGAGTTTTATTTACTCGACGTTTTGATGGCAGATATTCGTTCATGTAAATGCCTGAGATGCAGATGTTCGGCGGACTCAGTCCATGATAGGTCACCGAGTGTTGTTCAGTTGATCACCCAGCCATAATCCACAGAAAAAGCCCAAGTTCCAAGTGCAAGTTTTCACCAGGAGTTGAACCTAAAACGGTATTGTTTCTGATGCTCTAACACTAAACACATTAAAAATTATGCTACTCGTAACTCTCTTCCCTGGCAGTTGTAACTCTTTGAAAGTTAGCAGTATTCGGAACAGAAAGATTAGGTTACTAAGGAGAAAGGAGTTTTGAGTCATAAATTTGAGATATTACTGAACGTAACGCAATGTTTAACTGCCCGGCAGTCTGAAATGTTCGCAGAATTTCCGCTGAAAGTTTCTTTCAAACTTCCTATGAATATCAGACATTTGTTGCGAAATGTCAAGCGATTCCAAAACTATCTTTGGTCTTTTAGAGGACAAATTTTCTGAGCTTGTGCATATCATATAATCGCCAGGTTTGCGACACTAGGAAACATTTCTGAGTTAGGAATTTTATAAAATACACAACCTCAGAAAATTCTGCCTTTTAAAAACCAAAACAATTTTGGAATCGGATGACATTCCTCAGTAAACAAACCTCAAACACTTTCATTAAGTTTGTATATGCATGAGGCATTCTATGGGAATTCGGTGAATATTCAGTCTTCCTGCAGGGCCATTAGTCTATTTGAGAGCGAGCGTTTAAACAAAGCCGAACTTATATTTGTCATGAGTAGAACGTTAATGATCTGTTAATAATACCGGGGTACACAACAGAAGCCATATCAAAGGCTTTAACTCTGAGGCAATAAGAAATATGTCCGAAATTGATTCATTTAGAAACAGACTGCAGCTAAGAAAATTGAGACACAATATTTTCCTTTGTAATCTGTTAAAACAGCTCAG